CGTCAACTCCCCTTAAATATTTTCTAGTCTGTGCTCCCTGCGGACTACGCCATTTTTTCGACAGTTGTTTTCGCGCGCCTGGCAACCAGCCTATTAGGTCTTTCAAGGGGGAAGACACCTCAAAAACCCAAAGAAAACCCGCGCCGCGCGCGTTAGATCGGCATCGCCACGCACCCTAAGTTTCCGTCCCTTCCCAAATCTTGACGTATTATTGTAACCGCCCGGAAAACCTCTTCAGACTGTTTGTGAACGCGGGCCAATTTTTTGGCGAGAACCCCCCGAGCCGAGAGTATCCTGTTTACCGGTCGTACATGTAAATTTCAAGGCCAAATCTGGAGGGGGATGGCTGCGGGAACCCCGTAGCAAATTGACCGGCCATCCGCCCCCGTAACGGGTTTTTGGGGTTATAAATGGAGGGTATTAAATGGGGTATTTGAAATTTGGTTGGAAACGGTTTTTGGCGGACTTTTGGTTTTGAAATAACCTTCAAAGATGCGCTGTTTTCCTGATTTCTGAAAAATTGACATGCTAGATGTGCGTCTCGTGCCTAAGCCTAAATAAACCGAAGTTTCACCTAAGCCTATACTTAAGCCTTAGCCTAAACCTAAGCCTAAGCCATTAGATCTCCTAATCTAGAGCTTAAGGCCAAGCCTAATCTCCATCCAAGTCGAAACTTAAGTCTAGCCTAAACCTAAGTTTCGCCTAGGCCTAATCCTAAGCCTCAGCGTAATTTTAAGTTTTAGCCCCGTAAGTTTTAGAATTTTGAGGTATGAAGTCCCACCACCCCTTGTTTTCCTGCCCTTACCTATACCCCCCTTTTTTTGTAGGTTCAACGGAACGAAAGCGTACAGACCCCCCCACTCCAAATCTGACCCATCTGAACCTGTTTTGAAATGATCCTTAGCCAGCCTGCTACCCCCCTCCCATCGCGTTGCCAAATCCCTATTTGGCAGCTGACCACTTCACGAATTTGGCAACGGCGGAGACGAGGAGGTGTCTGTCGAAATGGACAGCCCTCCCCCCCTCCGATGCGCTGCCCCCGACAGATTGTAATCTATCGGGTCTTTAAAAGAATTGTTCAGACCGAACGGAACTTAGATTTTTGGGGCCTGATTTCGGGCACGAGGCAAATTTTTTTATAGGAATTTCCTTTGGGCGGGGGGTAGTTGGGGAATGTGAGGTTTGAGGATCTCTTGATTTTGAGGATCGCGTGTTTTTTGGAATATAGTGTAATTAGTAATTTTGAGGGTAGAAGTAGCTTCTGGATCGAACCACTCAGGCGATCTTGAACTGCTAGAAGACGCTGTTTTTTAGTATGATTCAATTACTAACTTTTAAATTTGAATTGCTTGCTTTCTGACCGTGGAATCAAATTCAAGCAGTTCGGGCCATTCAAGAAATAATTGACAATAATTCCTCGAATCCGTCCGAAAATTCAGACTCCGTATAAAGCGCTATTTCTAAAAACTGACCTTCTAAGTACCTCAGGAACAACTTCAAGGAGGTCAGACCACTAGGGAATATTTGGTAACTGGAGCTATCAATTTTTAAGCAAAAAAAATAGCTACAATCTATTTCCTAAGTACGCTTGAAACAACTTCAAGAAGGACGATATTTGCAATAACTGAAGCTATGGTGATTTAAGAAATGAACTTTAACGACTTTCCTAAGTACGAGAGCAGCAGCTCCAAGATCGGACCACCCAAGCCCCCAATTTGGCAATAACTCGGCGAGTCCGTCCGGAACTGCTGAAGATGGCCCTATCCGCCCTCGCTGCAGTCCCGTGCGATCACCCCAAGCCTTCACATGGCCCACCCCAGATGGGCTGACCACCATCTGATAGCAATTCCGGTATAAAAGCCCTACCTCCGGGGGGCCCGTGCTAGATTCAAGGCGTGGCCAGGGAGTACGGGTGGTGCCACTTCGCCTCCCTTCAGCTTCTTCCTCCCTCTGGCATTACCATATTTGTATTCTGAGGTCATCAGATCGAAAAAGGGGGTGGTGCCACCTTCTGGCAATAGTGAGTGTGAGGGAGGGCTTTCAAAGCCCGAAGCCATCCATTCCACCTCACTCCCCCCTTCCATTCCATACCGTCCGCCCCCCCACCCCCATGCCCCCAATCCCCCATTATTCCACCCCCCCTCCTGTCTCCTCCTCTTCTACTCCTCCCCCTCTTCTTCCCCTCCATCACAATACATCGTCCTCTACTGTGGGTCTGGGCTCGGCCCGACGATCAGCCGTTCGTGTTAGAGGTGCCAGGCTATAGCATTCACATTCACCCATTCCCTTTCTTCTGTTTTTTTTGCGCGGCGCGGAGGCGCTGCTGGGTGTAGTACTATTCGTTGATTGGCTTGTAGAAGTCAGAATATTTGGTCGGCTGTTTTTTAAAGTAGGATATTTATGTACGCTATAAAACTTCGCAAAGTGTTGAAAGCAGCTCGTTTTTGGCTACGGTACATTTCCTAAAAACTAGTTATTGACAAGATGCCTTAATATTCTAATCCATAAGTCTATTAAAACTAATAAAACGCCTCAACGAGAATTTCGTTTTCTCAAAATTTTTTAGACTTAGAAGCCAAAAACTTAAAAGTTTAAGCTTAGAATATGAATTTTACCTAAAATTTCAAAAGTGGAATTTACCTATCAAATTGTATTTTACGACCTAAACACCCCCATTTAATTTACCACCTAATCAAATCCGTTTTCCCCCCTTGTTCCAATCCCGCTAGCCAAAACACACCTCCCCCATTTCGTCGCCCTCCTGTTTACACGCCCTCTATTACCGGCCCCCCAATTGCAACATTTTCCATTTTCCGCTCCCCTTGCTACTAATCGAATATGTACTGTCCACCCAGAGGTCTATTTTAGACCCCCGGGAATTAACAAAATTTTTCTAAACGGACTGTAAACAGAATCTACCAAATCGACCTTTCCAATACCTTTAAAACCATTTTCCGCTTGTTGTCCGCCCCCGAATGTGCAACCCTGTTCAGCCCCAGGATTTATTACAGGTAAGGGCCCTCGGTGTCTACCGTCCACTCCACATCAACCACCCTCCTCCACCTCCTTCCTTCCCATCTATTCTATGCCCTCAACCGCCGACGTCTCCGACGTGTCTTCTGGCTGGGAGCGCGTCTCCGACCACGACTCGCAGGTTCGATTTGTGCTCAAATTTTTTTGTGTACTTTTTGTGTATTTTTATGTTTTTCCTTGCTTTTTGTCGACTGTCTTGGTGGGTAAGAAAACTTTATTACTTTGAAAAACCGGAAATAAGATTTTTTGAAGCACAAAAAGCGTCTTCTAGCAGGTCGGAAAAGTTTCCGATTTTGACGATTTTGCTATCTATCGAAAACTCTTAAAAAGGCGAGAATACTAAACCAGTTTTCTTTTCTAAATGAAACATGTTATACGTAAAATTTTGAGTTTTGAAAAATTTGAAACCAACATTTGGAAAACGATGGAAACCGTTGAATTATTCGAGATCCGCATGTGAATCTCCGATTTCACGGCAACAGGATGCCCGTTTTTCCAGAAAACACTACTTTTTCCAATTAAAAATAATTTTCCATGAAAAATTTTAGAAAACTAAATCCTCTTTTTTTCGCATTTTCAAGGGCTTTCCAATGGTGTAAAAACCATATCAATCCGAGCTTCCGGCGAACCGCTAGAGGATGTTGCTCTCGAGCTTCTCGAGCTACGATTTTTCTAGCAATACCTTTTCAAAATAATGATTTTCGTAGTAGTTGTAGTAATTATAGTTAGATAACGTCTAATACCCTCAATTTTTGTGTATTTCCCCCTGTTTTTACTTGCGTTTTGTCGAACTGTCTCGGTGGTCAACCCCTGTCTTCGCCGTTGGCACCTATTCGCCCCCCATTATGTCTCGTCTCGTTCTCCTCCTCGCTCCGCCCCCCACCCGGGCCGCGTCGGATACTGATCGTCTAATTGCGTGTCTCCCGTGTTTCCATCGTCCTCCTCCCGCTGGCTCCTCGCTCCCCCTCCTCCTCCACCTCCGCCTCCTCCTCTCAGGCTCACACATCGTGGACCTGTGCCGCCTCGACCACCCCCAAAAAGTGCGCCCGGTCGCACGGTAGTTAACGGATTAAGTGATGTCACATTTTATACCTTTTCTATTTTTATTTTATCTCTATTGTAGTATCTAAATTCTAAAAGTACTAAAAACTAAAAATACCTTTAAACCTCTTAGATTTTATTAAAACTCCAGCTCAGTTTTGCAAGCCAAGACCTGGTGTTTACAGCCTCCATTCCAGCAGTTTCCGAGCCCCTGAAATCAGCCCATTTACGAATTCGGGGCTTATCTGGCCTGCCGTCGATAGTTCTTCTTTGTACCTACCGTAGGGACTTACGAATTCGTGCGGCTTATCAGTTCCGGTGTAGCTTCGGCATAAAAGGGATCTGCTGATCGAAAAAATCAGAATAGTTGACTATCTCGAGCCCTCTGCGATTTTCTAGCTCTTCTAAAGAATTTCTCGAAGCCCACAAACCCATCATAACATTGCCTCCACCACTTACAGGCCATTAGCCACAAAGAGCTCCAGCTCCACGCCACCTCCTCCTCCCGAATCCGAGCCTCCTAGACCTCCACCTCCCTCTGTGTGTAACCTCGAACCCGACAGGCTCTTCGGATCGATGCGCATTTGAGACATGAATCTCGGACCCGCCCGCGGGCCGACCCGAGACCATCACGCGCCCTAATTTCCACGCCCGCCAGAGCACCAAAAGCGGGCCCCCGCAGGCTCCTCTATAAGTTAATGAGCACAAGCTTTCCTCACTCATTGATTTTATTAGAGCTTACTTTGATCCTTAAAAACGTCATTGAAAATAGTCCCAAACATCCTCTTGCTCCTCCTCCTCATCCTTGGGTCGAGTGCCCTGTTTTCCATGTTGCTTTGAAGTGGTCTGTTAGTCTTGGTGGTGAAATTTCGGGTATAAGGTGTTATATTTCGTTTAATTTCCAGACTAGCTCGTCCCCCGGAGCCATGTGGAACGGAGAGACTCCGTATTGGCACGGACAAGAAGACATTGTCATCTCCGGTGTCTCCGGAAGATTCCCACAGTAAGTTTTTACCTTTTTAATAAATTGGATGTTGTAAAATTAATATAGTTTTGGCTTAATTACTATATTACACTTTTTCTAGATCCGAAAATGTCAAGGAATTCGGAGACAAGCTCCTCGCCGGAGAGGACTTGGTCACCGAGGACGACAGTCGCTGGCCGCCGGGTAATTTTTGCAGCTTTAATTTTTATATGCATTAATCTTCTAGGCTACTACGATCTGCCCAAGCGCCACGGAAAGCTGAAGGAGCTCAAGAAATTCGACGCCTCTTTCTTTTCCGTCACGCCGAAACAGGTAAGAATACGTTCCGATCTTTGCCTTTTGTTCCCAAAACGTTCCGGGGAATGACAAAATTTCGGTCGCAAAAATTCCGATTGTTACGGCTACAAATCGATACCAACGACCGGTTGACGTGACTCATATTTAGGCCAACTACCTCGACCCGCAGGTCCGAAAATTGCTCGAGGTCACCTGGGAGGCTCTCGTCGATTCCGGTAGGTCGAGGGGGAGAATCAGCCTCAAAAACACAAAAATCACCCTAAAACCCCGCAAAAAATTCCGATACACTCCCAATTTGTCAGTGCAAGCCTGCCATCGTGATCTACCCCCCGGGGTCTTGCTCACAGTGCGGTGGGTGAGCTTGGGGCCTGGCTCGGGAGTGCTGGCGAGTGCTGGGCGGCCTTGAACCCTAGGCGACCTAGTTGCGATGCACCCCTTCTGCCCCCTTCGAATACTCTCGGCCTCTCGTCCTCCTCCACCTCCTCCTCCTCCTCATCGTCGCAAAACACCCCCGGAGGGCACCAGCAGCTCGTCAACTGGACTTGTGGAAGAGGGGGAAATCTGGTTTATGGGGTGTGAGGAGTTTGCGGATTTTGGCCGGTTTCGGGAATTATTCGCGTGATTTGGCAGAAGCTTACAAAAACGACGTCATATAGCAAAATCGTAGAAGCAGAAAATTCTTGAAACCGCTAGAACTGGTTACCTTATGGTCAATTTCGCAGTTTTCCGACCTCTGCACGCTCGAGCTCAACCAAAAGTTCAGCCTCAAAAAGACGTGAAACGTTATGATTTTTTAATACCATAGAACCGATTAAAACTATAAAAACTACGATAATTTCCCAATACCTCGATATCTGCTCTAATGAGCACGATCACAAATGATGTAGCTCCCCCCTAGCCGTGACGTACCTCACGTCACTCTCCGCAATTTCCATATACGCTACATCTTGCACACCCCACAGAACAGACCTCAAGAACAGGCTCATGCTCCCTTCTCTGAGAACGATCTTGCCAGTGTGAGACTGCACGCTCGAGTTTGTGCTCGATGACTCATTGCTCTGCTCGCGCCACCATGACCCCCAGGCTATCCCTCCCTGGTGCTCCCACCAGACTATAGGCAGCACGTGAAAGGAAGCTTCTCAAAACGAATGAGGATTCTTGATTAAAGGCTCAAAAACTATGGGGCCATTTTCCACTATCTGTTTCTCGTGCTTTCTCTCTCTCTCTCTCTCTCTCTCTCTCTCTCTGTCTCGCTATCTAGCAGAGAGCATTGATCTTTAAAGACCCCGGTTGGGTGTTCGCTGCTTATCTTGTCTATACCCTATAAAAAAGCATGGTCAGGCATTATGGCGCGATTTTTTTATCAGAAGGAGAAGCTGGGGTGGTTTTTTAGCAGGGAGAGGGGTGATAGTAAAACATAATTAGAATCTGGAAAAGTGAAAAGGAAATCGTAAATCAAAAATTTGAATTGAATTTTAGGAATCGACCCGGCCCAGCTCCGCGGCACCAACACCGGAGTGTTCGTCGGATGCTCGGCTTCCGAGACTGGAGGAGCCCTCACACAGGTATGAAATTTTCAGGAAATTTAGTTGTAACGATTTTTGTAAGGAACCTAAAGCGAAAGGTTTGGAAATACGTTGTTTTTGCGGTTGTAGTTAACGAGCATGACCTTAAAAAGTTGTATTTCAGTCTGTGAGGCTTGAAAATCAGCTTAAAAAGTCTATATGTGTTTTTAGGCTTTGAGAATGAGCTTGAAAAGTTATTTTCGTGTCTTTATAGATTGATGATTCCTTTAAAAACTTGATTTTGCATTTATAAATCGTAAGAATTACTTTAGAAAGTTGTTTTTGTGCTTTTATAGCCTTAAAAAGTTGTTTTTTTTATTTTTGGCTATCGAAACCACCTTAAAAACCGAATTTACATACATCCACAATTCCAGGATCCGGAAACCGTAACCGGATACACATTGACGGGATGCGTGCGGTCGATGTTCTCGAACAGAATCTCGTTCACATTCGACTTCCGCGGCCCCTCATTCTCCGTGGACACGGCCTGCTCCTCGTCGCTGCTCGCCCTCCAGCTGGCCGTCGATGCCATCCGACAAGTAATTTCGTCCTTAAAAAACTATATAATTTTTTCCCAGGGCCAATGCGACTCGGCCATTGTCGCCGGAGCCCACTTGACCCTCACGCCGACGGCCGCCCTCCAGTTCTTGCGCCTCGGCATGCTCTCAGACAAGGGCTCTTGCCGCTCGTTCGACGAGTCGGGTGAGTTCAGGCTCATTTTCTTCCTTCTGTCATTATCCTGAAAATTAAAAACATAAAAATTCGATTTTAGGCGACGGCTACTGCCGTACCGAAGGCGTCGCTGCCATCCTTCTGCAGCGCAAATCTAAGGCTAACCGTGTCTACGCCACCGTCTTGCACGCCAAGTCCAACACGGACGGAAACAAGGAACAGGGTAAGATCAAGATTATATTATTTTTTACCCATTTTTCAGGCATCACCTTCCCATCGGGTGAGCGCCAGGCCCAGCTCCTTGAAGAAGTCTACTCCGAAGCCGGAGTCGACCCCAACACCGTCTACTATGTGGAATCCCACGGAACTGGTACCAAGGTATGCCTATTAATGCCTAACTGCTACCTCTCTATACCTTAGGTCGGTGACCCACAAGAGGCCAACGCCATCACCCAAATCTTCTGCAGCAACCGTGAAACCCCGCTGCTCATCGGATCCGTCAAATCCAACATGGGACACGCCGAGCCGGCCTCGGGCTTGTGCTCCGTCGCCAAGATCCTGCTCTCCGTCTCCCGGGGCCTGATCCCCCCGAACTTGCACTACAGGAGCCCCAACCAGTACATCCCGGGTCTCAGCGACGGCCGCCTGCAGGTCGTCACCGAGCCGACCCCACTTGAGAGCGGAGTCATTGGAGTGAACTCCTTCGGATTCGGAGGTTCCAACACTCACGTCATCCTCAAGTACGTGCCACTCCCAACCTACTTATCTTATTTTTAGGGTCGCCGACCACGAGGCCAAGCCCCTCCCAGCCCCTGAATTCACGAAGGTGCTCTGCTACTCCGGCCGTACCCAGGATGCCGTCAACCACGTCTTCGAGAATGTTGAGGCTCACGCCGGAGACTACTACCTCCAACAGCTCCTGGCCAACCAGGCCAATCTGCCACCAAAGGACACTCCCTTCCGTGGATACATGCTCCTCAACCGCAAGGGAGAACTCCCACCTATCAAGGATGTCCAGAAGGTTTGCAGCTTCTTAATACACCACTAACTGACTGATTTAGGTGAGCATCACCGAGCCCCGCCCCGTCTACTTCATCTACTCTGGAATGGGCTCCCAATGGCCAGGAATGGCCCAAGATCTGATGGCCATCCCCGTCTTCAACGAGTCGCTCCTCAAGTGTAGCCATGCTCTCGACGAATTCGGAGTGGACGTCTACAAAATGCTCCAAAGCTCCGACCCATCCCAATACAAGAACAACACCCTCAACTGCATGCTCGCCATCTCCGCCATCCAGGTCGCCCTCACCGATCTGATGAAGCACCTCGGAGTCGAGCCCGATGGTATCATCGGACACTCCACTGGAGAAATGGGATGCGGTTACTGCGATGGAGCCCTCACTGCCGAGCAGACGATGAAGCTCGCCTACCACCGTGGAACTTCGATCATGAACTCGAAGATCGAAGTCAAGGGCGGCATGGCTGCTCTTGGAATCACCTGGGAGGAGGCTTCGAAAAACTGCCCTCCTGGAGTCGTCCCCGCTTGCCACAATGCCCAGGACAACGTCACCGTCTCGGGAGATGCTGAAGCCATCGACAAGTGGTGCGAGGAGCTGAAGGCCAAGGACATCCTGGCCCGTGCCGTCGATTCTTCCGGAATTCCCTTCCACTCGCCGGCCATGCTCAAGGTCAAGGAGCCCATGTTGGCTGCCATGCGACAGGTCGTCACCGAGCCGAAGCCCCGCTCTTCGCGCTGGATCTCGACTTCGATCCCGGAAGATGAATGGGACAGCGAGCTGGCTTCGACTTGCTCTGCCGACTACCACGTCAACAACGCGTGCAGCCCGGTGCTGTTCTACGAGGCTCTTCAGAAGATCCCGCCAAACGCCGTCACCATCGAGTTGGCGCCGCACTCGTTGATGAACGGAATTCTGCGCCGATCTTTGCAGAAGACCGTCTCCAACGTTGGGCTGATGAAGCGTGATGTGGAGAATGAGCTTGAGCAATTCCTCGGAGCGCTCGGAAGGGCCTACCAGGCCGGAGTGACGATCCACGTCGAGAACCTGTACCCAAGGGTTGAGGGCCCAGTGCCCAAGAACACTCCCATGATTGGACCCATGTGGAAATGGGACCACTCCCACGACTGGCCGGTCATCGACGGCAAGTTGATGGCTTCCGGAGGTGGTGGAGGTCTGCCCTCCTCGGCCTCGTACACCATCGACCCGTTCGCCGCCGACTCCAAGGAGGCCTACCTCCTGGACCATTGCATCGACGGAAGGGTCCTGTATCCGTTCACCGGCCATATGGTAATTTTAGCTCACATTAATGGATGATCTTTCTCTCAGGTGCTCGCCTGGAAGACGCTCTGCAAGCTGAAGGGAGTCGACTTCTTGAAGACGCCCGTCGTTCTGGAGAACATCAACGTCTACTCGGCCACGATTCTCACCAAGCCAAGTAGGCGAAAAATATTGGGTTTAAAATTGGTTTAGTCAAATTGGACTGCGTGATCACGCCTGGAACCGGGCAGTTCGAGATCATCTTCGACGACCAGGTGGCGGCTTCTGGACATATCTACATTCCGGACGACACGCAGCCGGCGTACTACGGAAAGGTAGGAAAATTTGAGCTTGAGGTTTTAGTTTTGAGCATCAAAAAAGACTTGAAAGCCAAGAAAATGAAATTTAAAGTTTAGATTTACAGTTTAAAAATTTTTTGTAAACAATTTAAACCCCAAATTTACAGCTCGAAGACATCCGCACTTCCGAAATTGCCGACCGCATCGAGCTCGACACCGAGGATGCCTACAAGGAGTTCCTCCTCCGAGGTCAGCCCTTTTTGCAACACGGGAATCATGCCAGCCCCGCCCGAGCATGACCACAAAAACGCACTTTCACCGCGCGTGAGCGCGCCCCCCGCGCTGCTCTATCCGTTTTGACCGGCTACTACGTAAACGGGTCTGGAAAGCGGCCATTCATCATTCGTTCACCGAACTGCAAATTCTTGTCGATGGCCGGAAAGGGTGGAAAAGAGGGCGGCGCAGGCGCTTTCCATGGGCCCCGCAGCGGAAAGGCGGCAAAAAACGTTTCGTCATTTCTTCGCGAACAATCGAGTGGCTATATGGCTGTCTCGGTTGATAAGATTTGAGCACGGCCATAGATGGGGAGCACCAGGGAAATCAACAATTTTTGAGGCCGGGATCGGTGTGAGAGGGAATGATATACAAGCTTCGGTTTTTTGCACTTCCAGGATTTTTCTAACCTAAATAAATATAGAAAAATTCAATTTTTGTAATAGAAAAGAAGAAAGCGTTTCCATATCGTTTTTGCTATCTTGAAACGCCAGAAGCAAACGAATTTCGGTTAAAAATACTAAAATAGAGAATTACGACAAAAATTCAGATTTTTAGGCGGATTTCTAAGTTTTTTACACATTTTTCCAGCTGAAAATAGCTAAATCGTACTAAAAATATTATTAAAATACTTCTTATTACGCTTATATTGCTATCTAACCTCATAGGAAAAAATAGTTTTATACCGCAATTTTGCGAATAAAATTACAGATATTTAAGTTTTTTCAATTTTAAAAAAATAATCTTTAGGTTGAAATATAGCTGAATTTTTTAAAAATAGCTAAAAACCCACTATCGTGCCACCAATAATATTTTGATTTATGGGAAAAATTGGCTGTATCGGGAAATCGCCAACCTCCCCCCTCCCCGCGATAATGCCAAAGTACCGCAATTTCACTTCTATTTTTTTCAGGCTACGAATACGGCCAGGCCTTCCGCGGCATCTACCGCACGTGCAACTCCGGAGAGCGCGGAAAGCTGTACTGGACCGGCAACTGGGTGACATTCCTCGATTCGCTGCTCCAGACAGCGCTACTCGCCGAGCGCGCTGACACGCTGCGTCTGCCGACCCGTGTCCGGTGAGTGCCTTCAAACAAGACACGATATCTATTACCTTCATCTCCACTATCTACACCTATTCCAAAGAACAAACCGCCCTCTCTGCATTGGTTATCTTCGAGAAATCTCGATTCTACCCTCTTTGACTCCAGCGCTGGGCCTAACAACCAAAAAAGGGGGTGGTTGCTAAACATTTTCGTCATGGTTGGGACTATGAAATATGGGATAACTAGATTTTGATTAGGTCTCGTGGACTCAGTAGTACTCTGGAAAACAACAACAGATTAAATCTTGTATTTTGTTGTTAATACGCTAGAAAAATGGTTCTGGACTGTTAGCGGGGAGGGGGGGTTAGCGGGGGAAAACAAATTTTTGTTTTTCCATTTTTACCGTTTGCTGCTATATTATGTATTTTAATAGTGTTTTTAGAAGTTTCTTAAGCTAGAAAGTCAAAAATAATATTTTTTTGAAATTTGAACATACAAAATTTTGTGTCCTTTTTGGTCGTTTTCCATACGTTTTTGGCAAAAATGTCAACATTTTTCCAATATGGTTATTTTTATGTTTTTTATTTAAAAATGACGTAAAATGCGATAAAAACAGTTTATATTTTGTTTATAGGGCCCTAGAGAGTCCTAGGTAAAAATTTAGTCCCCCCGCTAACAGTCCAGAACCAGAAATGTTTGTAAAAGACAAGAATAGACTATAAACGTCCTCTTCGGATCTCTAGAGCCTATGCCTTCGATAGAACTTGTCGCACATCCAGGGGGCAAATGCGGGAAGAAGGAATTGCATAGATGAAGATCCTCCACTTTCTGCCCCCCAGAGCCGGCTCACGTAGATCGTGACGCTCGATAAATGTTGGAAGCGGGGCACACCACCCGGAATGGAATCCCCATGGACTTTGCGGTCTAGTGTGTACTCCGGGGAGCAAGAGAAAAATCGTGCTCGTTCAACCAATAATTTCCAGCTACCTCCGCGTCGACCCGGAGAAACACCTCGCCAGCGTCATCGAGCAGGACGGCATCCAAGTCATCGAACTCCGCAACGACCACGCCACCAACGGATGTGTCGCTGGAGGCGTCGAATGCTGCGACCTTACCGCCCACACTGTCGCTCGCCGCATGCAAACTTCCGGCCAGCTCTACCACGAGAAGATCTTCTTCGTCAAGCACTTCGACAAGGAGGCTTTCCTCGAGTTCCCCAAGGAGAAGGCCGCCCTCGCTTCCTACCAAAAGGTCCTCCACGCCGTCGTCGCCAAGGGATTGGCCAACTGGAAGGAGCAGGGGCTCCTCGACAAGTTCCGCTTCGGCAAGCTGCTGCAGAGCCTGGCGAAGTCGTCCAAGTCGGAGGATGTAAGTAAAATCAAACTCACGCTCTTTACACGTCATTTCCTTTAGGTTACCGAGGATGAAGTCACTCGCTGGTTGAACGACCAGAAGGCGCCGCTCCTCTACGCCCTCAACGACTCCTTCGAGACCCCCTTCCACCGCGAGGACACACCCGCCGAGTACGAGGAGATCATCCGCAACAAGCTGAAGGTGAGTCCAACTTCTTGACTTCAAAATTAACATCAATTTCCAGGCCCTCAAGTCCACCTTCGAGCGCGACTTCTACTGGAACAGCGCCATGCTCCACGACCGCATCTACAAGACCGTCCAGGACATCACCATCGAGAACTCGGCCGGCCACAACTCGAAGTGCCTCTGCATCGAGCTCACCTCCACCGAGCAGCTCAAGCTCGCCCTCGAGGCCGTCTCCTCGCACCCGTTGCTTGAGCTCGACTGGTTCGTCGCCGGGCCTGAGGTTGACCAGCTCGACGAGAACTCGTTGGAGCAGATCGGGGCCAAGAAGTTCAAGCTGTCGCTGGATGACCCAGCTTTCAACGGCTCGAACGAGGTCAAGAACATGGATTACGTCGTTGTTGATCGCGTGCTGTCCAAGTAAGTTTGGCAGACCTTTAATAGCTACAAAACTAATTTTTACATACATTTTTCATGCATTTACCTACTTTTTCAGGAAGTCCAACCCCGGAGCCTACCTACAGGCCCTGAAGCACCTCCTCCGTGATGACGGTTTCGCCATCGTCACCGAGTACACTTCTGACTTTGAGGTATTAAAAATTATAGAATACAAAAATAAACCCAATTTTTCTAGCTGGCCGCTACCGTCAACACCCTGCTCGGCGAGGACATCGACGTCGCTGAGAGCCGCCAATACGGAGCCTACTTCACCCACGAGGCTCTCGTCAAGGTCTTCGAGGAGAACGGATACCGCATCTGCAACTACCAATCCGACCCGATCATGATGTCCACCATGTAAGTATCTTAAAAATGTTCAAATCTTAGTAAAATTTCACCTTTAACTTCTATTTTTAGCTACTGCATCCGCAAGATCCCCACCCAACCCCGTGAGCCCACCTTCATCGATGTCGACGACATCAAGGACTTCACCTGGGTCGAGCCCCTTCAACAAGCCGTTGAAGAGCGTCTGAACGAACCCGAGTACAAGACCATCTGGCTCAACTCCACCAAGGTCCGCAACAACGGAGTCGTCGGAATGGCCCTCTGCTTCGTCGAGGAGAACTTGAAGGCCAACCGCTTCCGCACCCTCGTCGACATGTCCGTCAAGAAGGGCAACCGCACCGGCCCACCCGCCCTCACCCTCGACAAGGACAACGTCAAAAAGATCATCGAGCTCGACATGCACGCCAACAACTACCGTGACGGCGAATTCGGATCGATGCGTCACATCGTTGTTCGTGATGAGGATGCCCACCAGACCAAGATGTGCGAGCACGCCTTCATCAACACATTGGTCCGTGGAGATGTGTCGTCCCTCACCTGGTTCGAGTCTCCCAACCAGTTCTTCCATGCCGTCGACGAGAAGAAGAAGGGCAACCTCCAGCTCTGCCAGGTCTACTACTCGGCCGTCAACTTCCGTGATGTCATGTTGGCCTATGGACGTCTTCCCCCGGATGCCATCCCCGGAAACTTCGCCGATCGCGAGTGTCTCCTCGGAATGGAGTTCGCTGGACGTCTCCCAAGTGGAAAGCGCATCATGGGTATTCTCCCAGCTCAAGCCTTGGCCACCACCGTCCTTGTCGACCCGGAATACGCCTGGGAAGTGCCGGAGAAGTGGTCTCTCGAGGATGCTGCTACCGTCCCGGTCGTCTACACCACCGCCTACTACGCTCTCGTCCTGCGCGGTCGCATCAGGAAGGGAGAGAAGGTGCTGATCCACGGAGGATCTGGAGGTGTCGGACAGGCTGCCATCGCCATCGCCCTCAACCACGGCTGCGAGGTGTTCACCACCGTCGGATCCGCCGAGAAGCGCGAGTACTTGAAGAAGAAGTTCCCGCAGCTCGAGGACAAGCACTTCGCCAACTCCCGCTCTGCTGACTTCGAGCTCCAAATCCGCCAGCACACCAAGGGACGTGGAGTCGATGTCGTGCTCAACTCGCTAGCCCTGCATATGCTCCAGGCTTCCGTCCGTTGCTTGGCTCAGCATGGCCGCTTCCTCGAGATCGGCAAGGTCGATCTGTCGCAGAACTCTGCCCTCGGAATGGCTGTCTTCCTGAAGAACGTCACCTTCCACGGAATCTTGCTCGATGCCGTCATGGACCAATCGATCGGAAACCGCGAAGACTGGCTCGAGATTTCTCGTCTCTTCCAGGAAGGACTCAAGAGCGGAGTCGTCCAGCCCCTCAAGGCCAACACCTACCCAGCCGACAAGGCCGAGGAGGCCTTCCGCTTCATGTCCGCTGGAAAGCACATCGGAAAGGTTTTGATGGAGATCCGCCCCGAGGAGTCGAAGAAGGTGTGCCCACCTACCCCAATCAAGGTGAAGGCCATCTGCCGCACTCTCTGCCACCCCCAGCATGTCTACATCATCACTGGAGGTCTCGGAGGTTTCGGTCTCGAGTTGGCCCAGTGGCTGATCAACCGTGGTGCCCGGAAGCTCGTGCTCACCTCTCGCAGCGGAATCAAGACTGGATATCAGGCCCGTTGCGTGTCCTTCTGGAGGCGCACTGGAATCTCGATCCAGATTTCGACCCAGAACATCGCCCGCAAACGCGATGCCGTTGAGCTGATCCGTGAGGCTCAATCGATGGGAACCATTGGTGGACTCTTCCATCTTGCCATGGTTCTCCGTGATTGTCTCTTCGAGAACCAGAACGTACAGAACTTCAAGGTAAGTGGCTTTTCCTTAAAAACTAAGCAAAAAAGTTTTGATTTAGCTAATCGATAATCTTTAGGACGCCGCTGAGGCCAAGTACTACGGTACCATCAACATCGACAACGCCACACGCGAGTTCTGCGATGAGAACCTCCGCTGGTTCGTCGTCTTCTCCTCCATCACCTCTGGCCGTGGAAATGCTGGACAGGTAGATGAACACGAGGCATCCCCTTACACCCTATGATTTCAGACCAACTACGGATGGTCCAACTCCACCATGGAGCGCATGATCGACCACCGTCGTGAGGACGGCTACCCTGGTATTGCCATCCAATGGGGAGCCATCGGTGATGTCGGTGTCATCCTCGAGAACATGGGCGACAACAACACAGTCGTCGGAGGAACCCTCCCGCAGCGTATGCCATCCTGCTTGGCCGCCCTCGACCTGTTCCTCTCCTGGAATCACCCCATCGTCTCCTCCTACATCAAGGCTGACCTCGGGGCCAAGAAGTCATCCGGTGGTGGCAACCTCCTCCAAACCATCGCCCACATCCTTGGTGTCAACGATGTCTCCCAGCTCAACCCTGATGCCAATCTCGGAGATCTCGGCCTCGACTCCCTCATGGGTGTAGAAATCAAGCAAGCCCTGGAGCGCGACTACGACATTGTCCTCTCCATGAAGGACATCCGCACCCTCACCCTCAACAAGCTGCAACAGCTCGCTGAAAATGGAGGTGCCAGCTCGACCGCCCTGCAGACCAACGAGACCGACATGAGGAAGGAGGGAGAAGCCAACGCCGAGAACAACACCGTCGAGCAGCTCGAGAAGCAGATGAACCAGCTCTTCAAGATGCGCGTGGACGTCAACGACCTGGACCCCCAGGACATGATCGTCAAGTGCAACAAAGTGGAGGAGGGACCAGTGACCTTTTTCGTGCACTCGATCGAGGGAATTGCTACTCCCTTGAAGAAGGTGATGAACAAGTGCGAGTTCCCGGTGTACTGCTTCCAAGCGACGCGCGAGGTGCCTCAGGATTCGATCGAGTCGGTGGCGAAGAGGTATATCAAGGAGATGAAGAAGGTGCAGGCCACTGGACCATACCGACTTGTCGGATATTCGTATGGAGCTTGCATTGGTTTCGAGATGGCGAAGACGCTGCAAGAAATTGAAGGGCCGGATGCTGTTGAGAGCTTGGTGCTGCTTGATGGATCTCATCTTTACATGCAGACCTACAGAAATGTAAGTGTATAGACGAATTATACTAAAAAAATCAATATACGCTTGAAATGCCGTAATCGATTAAACCTATATTTTCAGGTCTACCGAATGGCCTTCGGAGTGACTGGCGACACCCTCGTGAACAACCCCTTGTTCGAGTCGGAGATCATGTGCGCCATGACCCTCCGCTTCGCCAACGTCGACTACAAGAAGTTCCGCGTGGAACTCCTCCAACAACCCGGCTTCAAGGCCCGCGTACAAAAGGTAAAAATACACCAAAAATGCTTATAAAAATTGATTTAGGTGGTGGACACCGTCATGACGACCGGGCTCTTCAAGTCGGCCGAGACGGTGGCGTTCGCCTGCCAGGCGATGCACAGCAAATTCCTGATGGCCGACAAGTACAAGCCGGACGGAAAGTTCAAGGGCAAGATCACCCTGATCCGCGCCGAGCAGGGAGCCGCCCGAGAAGAGGATGTCGGACAGGACTATGGTATCTCCCAGGTAAGGTTTAAAAGGGATTATAAATGGTATTTTTGCATTATCGGGGGGTGGGCCTAAATACTCTAGTTTTCAACTTTTCGTTACAAGCCAATTTTTCTATAAAATAGTGGAAATAATGGAAACAGATTTTCGCACCCCCCCCGATAATGCACAAGAACCGTTTGAACCACCGAAGATTCTACGCTTTAAAAGTCATCTCCTAACCTCCAATTTTCAGGTGTCCGAGGACTCGCAGGTGTACATGGTGGAGGGTGACCACGACACGTTCGTGCAGGGCAAGAGCTCCTCGAAGACGGTCGGCATTATCAACGAACTGATCCTCGAGAAGCACAGGCCTTAAACTTCTTCACCCCCCAGTCATCCCCTCCCCCCATTCCATCGCATATGCCATCTGGATGCTCTCTCCACTTCCGGTGAGGTCAACATAGCTCAGTCCCCCCCTCTATCCCGTTACACCCCTCTATTCCCCACTCCCTCTACCGTATCGGCTCCGGCAGGCCGGTCGTGGGCCTTCCACATAGAATTTATCACTACGCATTTTTTCGGCGGCTAGCCATCTTTTGAAAGCCGATTTTGTGGTCTCGTCAAATTGAAGGAGGTCGGGCTGGTTTCATCGAGGAGAAGCTGAATAAGATCCGGGAATTATGGCTGATCTGGCGCTTGGCCATTGTTCTCTAGCTTTTCCTTGGTGATTTCCGGCACGGTTTCGTGAGACTGTGACGTGGATTTCGGCGGTTTTCGAGGGAAACGCATAAAGCTCTTGCTCAGCCACTCAGAAAACCTGTGTTTCCCTCTCAATGCGTAGCTTTTTAGGCCCCCACATAGACAAAACAGCTTTTTCCTCCCCCGTCCTCTGGAAGGCCCCAGTCCCTCAATTTACGTGGTCCCGCCTCCTTTCCTTGAACTTCCCGAACTCCTCGCCCCCCTTATAGACAGCATTTAACCAATTTTCCGCTATGTGTTTTTGAATTTTTCCGATTTCCCTTTCTCTTTCCCCGTTTCTTCTTGATCGTTTAGTGCCTTAACCACCTGAACTATCTGTGCTTATGAACTGGCCTTATTCCAATATTTCCGCTTCTCATAATAAGAACTCTCACCCGTCCCCCTCCCCTCCCCCTTGCTATGTCTATTCAAAACTGCAAATCAACTTTATCTGTCCTACTTTGAGGTTCTCTCGTGATGATTTTTTCCTCTAAAATTGTGGTTTTAATAAAGTCTAATAAGTAATATTGGTCTATGAAAAACAACACCACACACCTTAATAATAAAGTCGCGATCTCCGAACCCAGTTCCTACTTCCGATCGAACTATAATGACGCCTGAAGATGTGTTTACTTCCCAAAAATTCAAAAGTATTTATTCGCCAAACACCCATAAAATTACACATGAATTAAAAGTTGAAGGTCTATTTCTTGACGATCGTCTTCATGAATTCATCCAGCTCCTTCATACGCGGGAGGTATAGCGGCGACTTGGGGCGGGGCGTCCGGCTTGTCTTCTTGACAGTGTTGAAGGTCGGTTTCTGGTAGAAACAGGTTTTAGGACAACTAGACAGAATATAAACCTTGGAACAAGAACTAGAAAGAATATAAACCTTGGTGGCGGGCTGTGGCTTGTAGCTCTTCGAGACGCCGGAAATGGTGTTGATCTCGCCCTTGCCCAAGACGAATGTCGAGTTCAGCGGCTGGTCGAGCTCGTACGACTGAAACACGACTGAAGAAGAAGAACTAGAAAGAATATAAACCTTGGCGCCGGGCTTCGGCTTGTGGTCCTTGACCATGCCGAACGTGTTGCTGCTCTCGCCCTTGCACAGGACGAATGTCGAGTTCAGCGGCTGGTCGAGCTCGTACGACTGAAACACGACTGAAGAAGAAGAACTAGAAAGAATATAAACCTTGGCGCCGGGCTTCGGCTTGTAGTCCTTGACCTTGCCGAACGTGTTGCTGCTCTCGCCCTTGCCCAGGACGAATGTCGAGTTCAGCGGCTGGGTCGAGCTCGTACGACTGAAACACGACTGAAGAAGAAGAACTAGAAAGAATATAAACCTTGGCGCCGGGCTTCGGCGTGTCCTTGACCATGCCGAACGTGTTGCTGCTCTCGCCCTTGCGCAGGACGAATGTCGAGTTCAGCGGCTGGTCGAGCTCGTACGACTGAAACACGACTGAAGAAGAAGAACTAGAAAGAATATAAACCTTGGCGCCGGGCTTCGGCTTGTAGTCCTTGACCATGCCGAACGTGTTGCTGCTCTCGCCCTTGCCCAGGACGAATGTCGAGTTCAGCGGCTGGTCGAGCTCGTACGACTGAAACACGACTGAAGAAGAAGAACTAGAAGAATATAAACCTTGGCGCCGGGCTTCGGCTAGTAGTCCTTGACCATGCCGAACGTGTTGCTGCTCTCGCCCTTGCCCAGGACGAATGTCGAGTTCAGCGGCTGGTCGAGCTCGTACGACTGAAACACGACTGAAGAAGAAGAACTAGAAAAGAATATAAACCTTGGCGCCGGGCTTCGGCTGTAGTCCTTGACCATGCCGAACGTGTTGCTGCTCTCGCCCTTGCCCAGGACGAATGTCGAGTTCAGCGGCTGGTCGAGCTCGTACGACTGAAACACGACTGAAGAAGAAGAACTAGAAAGAATATAAACCTTGGCGCCGGGCTTCGGCTGTAGTCCTTGACCATGCCGAACGTGTTGCTCTCGCCCTTGCCCAGGACGAATGTCGAGTTCAGCGGCTGGTCGAGCTCGGTACGACTGAAACACGACTGAAGAAGAAGAACTAGAAAGAATATAAACCTTGGCGCCGGGCTTCGGCTTGTAGTCCTTGACCATGCCGAACGTGTTGCTGCTCGCCCTTGCCCAGGACGAATGTCGAGTTCAGCGGCTGGTCGAGCTCGTACGACTGAAACACGACTGAAGAAGAAGAACTAGAAAGAATATAAACCTTGGCGCCGGGCTTCGGCTTGTAGTCCTTGACCATGCCGAACGTGTTGCTGCTCTCGCCCTTGCCCAGGACGAATGTCGAGTTCAGCGGCTGGTCGAGCTCGTACGACTGAAACACGACTGAAGAAGAAGAACTAGAAAGAATATAAACCTTGGCGCCGGGCTTCGGCTTGTAGTCCTTGACCATGCCGAACGTGTTGCTGCTCTCGCCCTTGCGCAGGACGAATGTCGAGTTCAGCGGCTGGTCGAGCTCGTACGACTGAAACACGACTAAGAAGAAGAACTAGAAAGAATATAAACCTTGGCGCCGGGCTTCGGCTTGTAGTCCTTGACCATGCCGAACGTGTTGCTGCTCTCGCCCTTGCCCAGGACGAATGTCGAGTTCAGCGGCTGGTCGAGCTCGTACGACTGAAACACGACTGAAGAAGAAGAACTAGAAAGAATATAAACCTTGGCGCCGGGCTTCGGCTTGTAGTCCTTGACCATGCCGAACGTGTTGCTGCCTCGCCCTTGCCCAGGACGAATGTCGAGTTCAGCGGCTGGTCGAGCTCGTACGACTGAAACACGACTGAAGAAGAAGAACTAGAAAGAATATAAACCTTGGCGCCGGGCTTCGGCTTGTAGTCCTTGACCATGCCGAACGTGTTGCTGCTCTCGCCCTTGCGCAGGACGAATGTCGAGTTCAGCGGCTGGTCGAGCTCGTACGACTGAAACACGACTGAAGAAGAAGAACTAGAAAGAATATAAACCTTGGCGCCGGGCTTCGGCTTGTAGTCCTTGACCATGCCGAACGTGTTGCTGCTCGCCCTTGCCCAGGACGAATGTCGAGTTCAGCGGCTGGTCGAGCTCGTACGACTGAAACACGACTGAAGAAGAAGAACTAGAAAGAATATAAACCTTGGCGCCGGGCTTCGGCTTGTAGTCCTTGACCATGCCGAACGTGTTGCTGCTCTCGCCCTTGCCCAGGACGAATGTCGAGTTCAGCGGCTGGTCGAGCTCGTACGACTGAAACACGACTGAAGAAGAAGAACTAGAAAGAATATAAACCTTGGCGCCGGGCTTCGGCTTGTAGTCCTTGACCATGCCGAACGTGTTGCTGCTCTCGCCCTTGCCCAGGACGAATGTCGAGTTCAGCGGCTGGTCGAGCTCGTACGACTGAAACACGACTGAAGAAGAAGAACTAGAAAGAATATAAACCTTGGCGCCGGGCTTCGGCTTGTAGTCCTTGACCATGCCGAACGTGTTGCTGCTCTCGCCCTTGCCCAGGACGAATGTCGAGTTCAGCGGCTGGTCGAGTTCGTCCGACTGAAACACGACTGAAGAAGAACTAGGACAATTCGAAAACCCGATTCGACGGGTGGCTGACGGCGTTGGTGGCGCCGGGAAGGCGGTGCTGCGGAATATCCCCCATCAGCCGGTAGAGTTATGCGAATAAGTGACGAGCAAGCGCCCGAATTTTCGGTGGATACCCGGATTCAAATTGGTGATTTGGTGATTCAAATTTGGTGTTTGCCTCAAATCTTATGAAACAGTTGAGCTATCTAGTTTAAGGTCCCGTACCTTTTCAAGGCCGTCATACGCCGCTTGTTGACGTTTCGCTGATTTGCTTACTGTAGTGTGTACTAGTTTAATTAATTAACCTGTACTAATTTAATTAAGGAATGGCGGCAGCATTTTTTTGATAAGACATGGTTCCTTAAAGTTATTTGCAAGGCGTGACTCTGGATTTTGTCAGTGCTCAATTCTCTTTAGGATTTTCCGCGCAGGCGACATACGGCGCATTTCACGTCACCGTTGATCAACGTCGGCAGCGAAGCGCTGACACTAGTACGGTTTGTGTTTTTAAAAATAACTAAAATACATCGATTCACTTGTCTTTATTTAGCACAGTTGGATACACAGCAAATTAAAAATAGGAAAAGACAGTTGCACGTGACCGGGGGCAACAAATTAGCATATAATACACAACAATCATCACTGGCTCTGATATCGGAATTCGGAATGTAGCAAGAAGGGATAAACACACAAAGCGATGAGATCATGAGGGGAGGGGGGATTGCACTAGCTTACAATTAGTATACCAGCAAATTCTCGGTCACCCGGGAGCAGAAAGGGGATAGGATGCCGGCATTCAGGAAATAGAAGCTCAGACCGAAGAAGATAGAGATCGGGAGGGCCGGAAGGGCTTTTTTGTAGACGGCGAGAAGCAGCAGGGTTAGGCACAATCCGATGAGAATTGCCACGTAGCAGGCGAGGGTCGTGTTCCAATCGTAGTAGGTGGATGCTTTTCCAACCTGAAAAAAGTAAGTATGAAATCGTAGGGTCACATACCAAGATCGAATAAAAGATGAAGTCTCCCAAGCCGAGCTTGATCCCTCGCTCTTCCGTTACAGCACGAGCAGGGGGAGTGACGACAGTTGTTGCAGCTTCGTCCTTCGCTTCAGGCCTGAAAATCATGATTAAACCAACGAATAGAAATAGACTCAATGCAAGATCAAAAATGTGCTTAAAACTTACGCTTGCTCAATTGCGTCAGCATCGATAGGAGCTTCTTCAATAACGTCACCGTCATTCAAAACAGCCGTCTCAGCACTTCCGGCCGGTTTGACAGCATAGCGCTTCACCTAAAACACAATTAAAACAACAAACAACGCTATGATACCTTAGCCTTCTCCATCGGTGCAGGTTCATCAGTATCAACCATCGACAGCAACGTATACGGATATAGGATTCCACTGGAATAGATGAGGGCCGGGAAGATGGGCTCATTTCGCTCCTAAAACCGGGTTTAGAACATCAAAAAGCGGTTTCTTACCTGTGCCGTTTCCACAAGAATCCGCAAGGGTCCTTTTGGCGTGAGCACGGCAATCAAGTCCCAGATCTAAAAGAAAACGTTCGCCAAAAAAAGATGTAGTATACCGAAATAGCGCCCAAAACCGTCCATACAGTCCAATCGGGGAGGTACTTCAGAAATGTCAACGCCATCAGCGCCGAGACAATGATCAAATAAGCCTAAAAGAAGTTATAACCGTAAGAATGCGAGTGAAAATACCTGCTGTAAAATCAGTGGTCCTTTCCAGTGAATACAAATCATTCCTAGCGTCGCGAAATTGTAGATGCCAAAGAAGACCGTGATCAGCGATGCAGACACGTTGAACGTTTTGAAGATCTGCAACAATCATTCGAAGAAAGTAAACATGTAATACCTGGACTACATAAAGCGTGACGAACATAGTAAGGAGTAGAAGGCTGCTCACAAACAACCATCCATGGATGATGCGATAGAAACGATATTTGTAGAGGCAAATTAATGCCACAGTCATGACGATGATGAATGCGAGCAGGACAGCAGCGTTTCCCAAGGAGTAGAGCACCTGAAATGCGTAATGTAGCTAACATTAGCGATTCTATCATGTCGTAATTAATAAGGGCGCAATTTAGAAGTCGAACGCTTCATACAAATTTGAGAATGCCGGCATTTTAAAATGTAGAAACTCATAATATCGCAGCACGTCATGTCGACATTTTATAATGGCGTCATTTGAGCCGCAATGTTATAAGATCGAAATTTCAAAACGCCGACAAGTTCCGCGAAACTCGTTCCTGTAAATTGCGGCACTATGAGCTTCGCCACTTGGGAAATACCCCTATTTTACAACGAGTGGTTTTTAGGCGAGTGGCATTTGCAATGCGGCATAACTCTTTCGATGGACCTTGCAATTCTGAGGAAGTCCCAGCTTTCAAAGAATGCTGTACGATAACGGTTCGCACTTTGTTATGCGAGGGTCAAAAATGGTCAAAATCCGCTCTTTAGCGAGCATTCTCTAAAAGCGGTGTCGTTCAGCAATTTTTGAAAGAAAGGACTTGTTCAGAATGTCCAGCTCTATCGATTGAGCTATTTCACATCGCAAAAAACCCTAGATCAGCTAAAAACCGCTCATTGTTAGCCATTAAGTACCTTCTCTCCAGTATCTTCAGTCGGCTTTGTAAAAGGTGTGTAGAGAAGCGCTTGCCCGTTGCTCTCGCCATAGAACTAAAACAATATTATCAAATCCATAGCAATAATACTTACATCAATAGAATTCATCGTCGCCACCACCAGGGCCATACACAGCGACACCGGGACAAAGAGGCGGATGACATGTTCAGCACCATACTTCATTTCAACTAAAAAAACACGATAAAGCTTCATTTGAATAAGGAAACCTTCATCGCCGCCGGGAGCATCGTCGTTTTGTTGGGCAGCAACTGGCTCGACATCTTCTGGAGCTTCGATCCGGATGACGGGCTGAAAAAACTCATATATCCAGGTAAAATGAAAAGGTTTAAATACAGCCAAAGGAGGTAGAACCTAGGATTCAACAAATTAAGGTCAATTCGAACCAGTTAGCTCAAAATAATCAAAATCAGAGATCAAAAATGAAACGTATGTGGTCAGAAAAAGGATTTTTATGTGATTGCCCAATTATCCCGGATTGGGAACGGTAAAAAAGTTGGCAGAGTGCGGAATAGGGTGCAGCCACCGGCATGGTTAGGGAGTATTGCGTGCAAAAGCCAAATCCTAAGTAAAATAAACATTTTAACTTTTCTTTTGGTTTTTCTCATCCTCAGCATACTTTTCTAAACAATTTCCCGAATTCTTACGCTTCCCCGATCAGCAATCACGCAAAGGGTTCAAACTTTTCACCAGATTCGGCTTTAATTCACCTCCTGTGTGGTATATTTCACGATTATCTATCTTCCAGATTTTCTAATCTTTAAAAATACTAAATTCGTTCACCTTTCGCATTGTCTGGCGGGGCGAAATCACTGCGACATCGGCTTGGTCGATGGCACCATACTGTGACGACGGGCCCGGCTGATCTGGATTCATTTGGCGCTGCCCGAGCTGCTCCCGGCTAAAATTCGGATGGATTTTTCACAAATTTGAATAAGGTTTGGAAGGAATACAATAGGAAATCAAATTTCCGAAGAAAATTTAAATTACTGGGTTCTGAGCGCAAGACTGACTCGGGAACCTCGAGACCTGGAAACAGAATTGCCTGAAAATTTTCACACAGATGGTATCGACGATGTTGATCATGACCAGGTTATCAGAATTTATCTTTTCTACAGGTTCCTTAAAATAGGTAAAACTTGAAGACAAAAAAAGACGAAGATCTCGGCAAGCAATTCTGAGGCCAGGTTTATTCGGGGTGTCCGAATGGCAAATCAACGAGGATTTCATCAAACCGGAAAAAGTTTTGATTGATATGTATGATTTTGCAACAGTTTCAAACAAAAATACGTTTATATAACCAAAAAAAATTGGGACACGCGAGTGGGGCAATTTCCCGGATTCCCTCTGTATGCCTGCCCTTGACACCAGGGGTCATCTTTTATCTTGATCAACTCTGTGAAAAAATTCGATGGACTCAAATGGCGCACTAATGTGCTGCAGTCAATGGGGGATCAAAATGATGTGGGGTGTCATCGTTAGTGCATACAAAATAAGCGTATATCCATTTTTAGATGGCGACAAGGCGCACCAAATGACGCCCGGGAGCTCAAAGGGAAACCGAAAGGTGCACAAACATACGACAAAATAGGGGGAAATTGACGCTAAAACAGGCGTTAAAGGTAATTTAAAACGGTTCTTTGGCATTATCGGGGGAGGCGTTGCCGAAGTTACCAAGTTTATTAAAAATATCGATTTTTCGGCCAAAAATGGTCGGTTTTTTTATGAAAGTTCTCGACTTTTTGAATTTTTTTTTGGTTTCGATTGTTTTTCTAGTCGAAAGATAGTTATTGTTACTAAAAACAGTAATGCAGTACTCGCTGTACTGTTACTACGTATTTTTCGACTTGGCCTACCCCCAGACAATGCGAAAGAACCTTTAAAACATAGGCAATGATAAGTTTTTTTAAGGATATGAGGCTGAGAATGAGGTTGAGAGAGATATAATGAGTATTGAATCATAATAGGTTGATAAAATTGACTAAATAAACGGGGGAAACACCGAGAATTGATCTGATAAATTAATAAATTTTGTAAAAAATGTGCATAAATTTCTTAAAATCTTGTCAAAGCTATGATAAACGCTAGTGATTGGGTCTCTAATTATTATACTATTTTATGATGCTATTTTTCTACGTTTGAACCAGCCAATGGAAGAGAAATCTGGAGATTCAATCGTCGTCGTCGTCGTCCATCTCCACATCGCTATCAGGCACGTTGTGATGCTTGACACTAAAATTAGCTCTTTAGAGTTTAGCATTACAGTTTTAAATTTTTGGTAAATAGCAAGATGTAGCAAAACTAGAAAAACTCACGCCGGAAAGTGATTGATGCCCGGGGACATCCAAGGCGGGGAAAGCAGCGTAGCGTTCTTGTAATCGTGCTTCATCGCCCTTGCCCATTCCTGGATCCAATCGCTGTAGTCGTCCTCCTCGAAGAAGTCCTTAAAAATTTGATGTATTTATTGTTTGGGCTTGGTCGTCTTAGATCCAATCCGCTTCATTTTTTTACCAATGATGAGGGCTCATAAAAACTGCAATCCAAATTTCTAAGCTAAATATTGTAAAACAAAAAGGTTAAAGCTAAAAAGGTTATTTTGGGCATGTTGGTACGCTTTTTTTGACTATATTCCCGTAATTAGCACGCGGATTTTGGGTATTTTGGGTAGTTCGAAGAAAAATGGTCATTCTTGGGCGAATTTCTATGATAAAAGTTGGTTAAAAGCTGGAATTTAGACGCTATTTTAGTAATTAAAATATTCCCAGAGATAATATCCTGCCCGCTTCATTTTTGCTAAACGTTTCGGGATCGAAATCCGTCGAGAGCTTGCTGAAAGCCGCCGATCGACCTTAATTTTACTATAACTTTATTGATTTACAATATTTGGCTAAGAAAATTTGGATACCTATAGTTTTTACGGTTGCCCATCGCTGTTAAAAATTTCAACACGATTGGACAGAAGATGGGCAAATTTGAAGGTCGGAAACCTTTCAGCTCCATGCCTACCTCAAGAGTCTCCGATTCTTTCAGCGCATTTTGCGTGCGCGTCAGCTCCGCGTGTTTCCCCTCGATTTCCTTCGACAGTTCAGTAACCTAAAAGTCATTGTAAGCCTATTTTTTTAAATTTAGCCCAACCTCAGCCTGATTCCACGCGATACTGCGCCAGTTTTTCTCCTGAGCCAGACTAGCACCGATATTCGGATCAACACTAGACTTCTCCGTTTTAAAATGAATGTTAATGCTCAAAACCTTGGGATAACGCGGAGCTCCATGGGGAGCTCGGGCGATGTCTGGACTCCCTCCCTGAAGGCGAGCAGCTGGGCCTTGGAGTAGATCTTCGCGTCCGGGTCGTTGACTTGGTAGCGGTCCTCGGCTATAAAATTTAAATTAGTTAAAAGCTAATTTATTTCCAGTGATTACCAGGGACTTGGTCGAGAATCTTCTTAATCTTTTCATCTACGGCTTCAATCTTTTCTTCGAGAGTTTGAGGGGGCGGCTGAAATTGGCGGTACTTTTGCGTTATCGGGGGGGGTTAGTATTGGTCCGGAAATTCAACTCAACATAAACCTAATTATTTTGAATGTTTCTAGAATATTTTAATATATTTAAGCCCAGAAAATATCTAAAAACTTACAAAATGAAGAATTTCGGTCAAAAAATCATTTTTTCTATGTTTTAGTACAGAATTTGTAAGGTTTTTACCATTAGGTAGCAAAGAAAAGCTTGTAAACAGTCCTTCCTCTATTTATATTAGAAAATCGGATTTAGAAAATACCCCCGCTCCGCGATAATGCCTAAGATCCAAATTGGGACTAAAGTATGCGTATAGCTTTTTAAAACAGAAATTAGCTCAATTACCGTAGCCTGTTGGAAGGACGAGTAGTCGAAGTAGTCCTTCCACTAAAAATCAGATATTTTAAAAAGTTGTTACAATTACGTGAATGCCATCGAACAGATCGCATTTGTCAAAGGAGGTGGACGGGTACTTGGACATCTGAAAGGAATTGTTGTAGATAGCAAGAGAAGGCGAGTGAAGTGGTACCATGAAATTAACGAGGGGGTGCCTGAAGTCCCAGGTGAATTTTGATGAAATTGCACTCCCTTGGGCACCATTAAGATTGGTGCCCGCAAGATTAGGACGTATCTACGTCTCCGAGACTAGCAAAATTGTATAGAAAACTATATTCAAAATTTCTAGGTATTTTAGAAAAAAAACGGGGTCCTATTTTGCGAGTTTCTGACGTCATCTGTCTCGTCTGTTTATCTCGTCGTTTTTTATTATATTCCGAGCCTTTCGATATGGATTGAATAAATTAAAGGATTAGAAGGCAGAAGGGCGCAAAAATTCATAAAATTATTTTCACAAAAACTCGTAATCTTTAAAATATAGAAACGTTTAAGCCAAAGCATCGGCTTTTGCCCAAGCCTATGCCAAGCCTAAGCTAAGCCCAAGCTAAGCCTGAACTAAGTCTAAGCCAAGCCAAGCCTATGCCAAGCCTAAAATATGCCTTACTAAATCTAAGCAAATCCGATCCTAGGCCAAGCCGAAGCCAAGCCTAAGCCTGACCTAAGCCTAAGCTATGCTTCAGCTAAACTTAAGCTAAGCCAGGGCAAGGACAAACCTAACCCTAAGCTCTCTAAACCTTAAGGACCCCTTTAAAACGAGATTCTGGAACCAATCCAATGCCCATACAAAGAAATGAAACGCCCCCCTACCCAAACAAAGCCCTTTTTCTAACCCCAGAAAAAGGCCGACAAAAACAAGGATTGCCAATCGGAATCGGATCCTTTGATGGTATGATGCAGCTGGGAGTTTTGAGGGGTTGTGAGGGGTGGTAGAATTTTGGGGAGGAGGGCCCCACACAGCTGGGAGGGCCCTGTAATGGGACTGTCTGGAGGGCGAGCGCGCGGAGGGCGAGCGAGTGGCCGGGGGAGGACGATGAGTAATCATGTAAATTGCCTTCTCATCTACCTAGACCCATTAATCTTGTGTGTGAAATTGTTTATGGGTTTTTGGAAAATGCGGGAAAGATGTCTGGAAACATTATGGCAAATGGTTGGAGGATTGAGCGTGAAAATGAGCTTGAATTGGTTTACTGTACATATCCGGATATTTGAGGGGCATAACTGCTATCGTCGCGATCTTAAGATGTACGATACCCCGTCGCTGGTGTAGGCTAGGCTAGGGCTGAGGCTTAGGCTTAAGCTTAAGCTTCGAATTAGGCCTAGGCTTGGCTTAGACTTAGGCTCAGGCTTAGGCTTAGGCATGGGCTTGGGATTCGACTTTAAATCTTAGGCGTAGGCATAGGTTGGTGGCTTCGCCTAGGCTCAAGCTTCGGCTCGGGTTAGGCTTAGGTTTAGGCTGACGTTTAGGCTTAGGCCTAAGATTAACTTATGCTTGGGCTTGGTCGTGGCTTAGGGCAGAGATCAGGTTCTGTTTTTAGGCTTCTAGCTTTTAGGCTTGCAGTCGAAAAGATCGCAGAAATTCCGCTCCATACGATCCATCCACATCGCCAATATTGCCCAGAATTTCTCTCTCGTTTCTAACGCCTACAATTTTACACAACCCCATCCAAAAACCAGAGTGGAATTAATAGCCAAAAATTCTTAGAATACACAGACGCTAATGCGGCCCCAAAATCGTAATGCCAGGGGCGGGCCGCGTGAATTCTGGAGGCCCAATGCCATTGTAATACCGCAATACCCTAGAGATCGGCGGAAATGATTACGGTGTATTTTCAATGTCTGGATGGCCCCTATGGGGTCGTCGAACCCGCGGGGAAATTGTAAACATCTCTAGCGTGCGTGAATCATCTTTGGAATCGAGATGGGAGATGGGTGGGGGCCGAGATTTTTGCAGGGGCCACATCATTATGCCAGGAGCAGGAGGTGTGGTTTTAATGGACTTCGATACAGGGACCAAATATAGATCTACAGGGTGCTAAAACAAGACCCTCTATCAGTTCGGAGGAGGCTTGGTTTGGGACGATTTTGGTACCATTAGAAAGCCCTCAAAATGGCGAGAAAACGAGCGCTTTTCAAATCTTGAACAGTTTGAACGCTTTTCAAGTGTTTTCTGAAAAATTATAATTTCCGAGGAAAAATGACAAGTAATAACGTCAATATGTTGCGTAAATTTTTAGTTGTCAGGATTTTCGGTGGCAAAAAAAATATTAATTAAAACCTTTAATTTTAAAAAACGTCTGTTGCTGTGCGTGATCGCAAAAATCGAAATTAAGGATTTTAATTTGAAAAACAAAAGAGCTGGTTTAAATCGGAAAATTTTTGAGTTAAAATCCTTGATTCAAAAACGCAAGAATAGCTTGGTTTTGTCTTTCAAAGCTTTATCCTAAATAAACAAAAAAACGTTTAGTTTTGGATTTTGAGATCGTAAAAACTTTGAAACAAATCCATAATTTAGAAAATAAAAATAGCTGATCTATTTTGCGTTTTAGAGCGTTTTCAATAGGTACCGAAATCAGGAAAATCGGACGGTTCGACGGCCCAGTAGACCTGGCCCTTTTTCTGGGACTGTATATACTCAACCACTTATATGGCTACATTTTCAACCGGCCAACACGCGATACTACCCCGGATTTGGATCAAATTGTAGCCCTGACGGGTAAAAACCGAGGTACCAACGTCGGTTTTTTGCCTCAAAACCCCCAAAAACTGCAAAAAACCAGGCTGACCCTTTCTACTGAATTTCTAGGCCCCTGTCATTTTGTAGTTCTCAAAAATTAACACAATAACTTTATCAAATGCACAAATTCACTGAGAACCGAGTCGCTGAGGCCAAAATCACAAGCATTTCTTGAGCGATTGTTTTGTATAATATTACTGAGTTGAGCATGGGTGGTGGTGGATGGCAAGTACAAAGATAGAGAGCTGAGCAGGGGAGAGACACGTAATTTAGAACGTAATTCAGGCAATTAACAATGAGCAATAATTGAAATTGATGGCGGTGGGTAGACATAGAAATCTAGAGATACTAATATGATTTCACAACGCTTTTTACAAAAATAATATTTGGATGGCGGGGTGGATGGAAAATCCTATTTCTTTTGGGTCAACGGGATTTCGGCATGTAGTTTTGTGAGGACATGTATATGGTATCGGTCTGGAGCATCTTCACGACGGAATGGGGCCTGGAAGTTGGGTTTAAAGGGGTGGAGAAGGCAAGCTTATTGATTTTTGTCGATTGATTCCTACGAATTTTTCCGGGCCAGCTACACGCCAGGCTCTCTCTTTTTTCCCTCTCTCCCCCGCTCTCTCCCCCTCTCTCTCTGTCTCTCTCTATCTATCTCTCCCTCCCATCTCCCTCGCGCTCTCTCGCTCTCACGCGCTCTCGCTCTATCTCACTTTCTGCCTCCTTACTCTCATTCGCTCTCGCCCCGGCTCTCTTTCTATCTCGCTCACCCCTCTGATGATGCTATATCTCTCTCACTCGCTCTCCATCTCTCTCACTCTCTCTCTCACACTATTTTACTCTCTCTATCTGCCTCTCTTCTCTCTCGCTCTATCACTCTCTCACTCTCTCTCTTTCACACTATGCTCGTAAATAGGTGTATAGGTATCGATATAACCCCAAAATTTTTCTAAGAATTTACCCTCGTCGCCTCCCTATTCAGCATTTCACGTCGCAACCTCTGCAGCGCGGTATAGGTCCCAACCGGATTGGCCCCATTTAGCATGCGACATGTCAGCCCGTAGATTGACACCTGGAATACCGGGTTCGATAAGGAGGGTAATTCCCCCCTACCTTTATCTCCTTTGGACGGGTTTGTGAGACGATGAACGCGTAATGGTTGAAGGCTTCTTGGTATAGCGTTCTGGAAAGCAGTATTAAACGTTAAGTTTTAAGAAATAGACATACCTGAATTCCTTATTTTGTTTGCTGGCCCAGTATGGCTTGCGGATTTCGAGACAGCTTCTCCAGCCATCGAGGACTGACGTGAGGATCCATTCGTAGGACAGTTCGCGGAGTCCATCCTAAAATCATTGTTAGAATTTTCATTATTATTGAATAATAACTATTAAAATGTTGAAAATAAACTTTATTACCTGAATATTCCTAACATTCGCTCCAACCGGCCTTGCCAAAACGACCGCCAACGATTCCAAGCTTTTCCTAGCGTGTACGGCTACGAGAGGTGCAAAACTAAATATAGACATTTATATTTATATTTTTTATCTCTTAGTAAAGTAAATTGAAAAGCCAGTTTTGTTAAGTTTAATAAGTTTTTAACCCACTTTTTATTCTCCCGATCGTCAATACAGAGCTTCTGACTGCAAAAAGCATGCCCGACAGCTAGCGCCAAATCGCTAAAATTTGGGTTTAAAATTAAATTTGAGGGCCTTACTTTGAAAGAAGCTCCTCCGGGCATTGTCGAATGAGGGTGTAGTGGGTCTTGGCTTTTTTCACTTCACCGGCACGCCAGTAGAGGGCACATGAGAGGACGTGGGTCCACCTAAAGTTTTAAATTTTTTAAAGGGCCTGGCAAGTCATTTTTAGCTATGTATTTTGATGTGGAGATTAATATTGAGATACCCGTGATACGTTGACACGCGTTTTTGGATTTTATTACGCTTTTTAAAAGCACGGACGTTGCCTTTTCAGCGGAGATTTGGCAAAATCCGTAGGTATCTCCCTTCAATGCTCTTTTAACGATGATTTTCTAACATAATGCCCAAAATCTTCAAGTCGAAATTTCAAAATAACGAATTTCTGGCATAAGTTTTAGGGTTTCTCCGGTAGGTTTGCTCATTTAAATTGTAATTTGCTAATTTGATCCCGCAACGATTTTTTGTACGATTTACGCTTTATGGTTTTTAAACTTAAGCTAAAATCTTTTAAAAACCGTAAGGTTTTTCCTCCAAAACTTACGACCCCTATTTTACACTAAACCCCTCGTGCTCAATTTTTCACGCTCTCCCTTCCTCTTCACGCTCCTTCTCCCTGTACCCACCATAAACAGACCGGGTCGCCCGTCGTCACGGATTTGAGGAACGGGTCGTAGAGCACTGAAAAATCTCTTTCTCACACAAGAACAAGTCGATGGCAATCTCTTGCTCCTCTACAATCTCCTTCTTTTCTCACTTACTCTTGTCGATCTCGGCCGTTTTCGGGGGTTCGGTGCTGAGGGAAAGCAACAATTGAGAGATATCGGCCACATCAATCTTCGACGGGCAATCCGACTGCACAAAAAGGGCCAAAATAAATAGAGAAAGAGGATGAGTTATACCTGCAGCTCCCCGAGGAGCATCCGAAGGAGGTGGGCCTTGAACGCATCGCGAAGGCGATCCAGGGCACTGCCTGAAAAAATGAGAGATAGCTGGGTGTCGGGTCAGTGATATCATTAATAGCGACTTGATCAAGCTGCTGGCACGGTCCCTTTAAAATGTCTGACCTTGGTCGGTTGGCATAGAAAATGGATGGGTATCCGTGTCGCGAGCCGTGAGAATTTCCACAACTTTTGCCGGGCTGCTCAGGAAGCGTCTGGCAGTTGGATGGACCGTCCACATTAAGCCGGATACCTTAAAAATAGCATTTTTATTGAAATATAGATATTTTACTCTTAAGACGCGTTAAGGTACGTGCCACGTAGACGCCTATTTACGCAGAGAGTCAAGCAAAAGAGAAAGAGAGAGAGAGAGAGAGAGAGAGAGAGAGAGAGAGAAAGAGAGAGAGAAAGAGAGAGAGAGAGAGAGAGAGAGAGAGAGAGAAAGAGAGAGAGAGAGGTAGAGAGAGGCGGAAGTAAATAGGCGTCCACGTAGCTGGTTCTTGAATCTACGCTTTTAAAAAAATCGGATACCTTAAAATATCGTATTTTTATTGCATTTCTATCCTATATTCTTAATAAGTGTACGCACATATAAGTTAATTAAAAATCTTCACTTACAGTATGCGGATCCGCTCGTCGTAGATGTCTTTTAGCACGCTTGATAAAATAGATTGCAGCCATCGAACCGAGATATTGAGGAAGAATTAACCGAGTACTATAATAAAAATTTTGAAATTTTGTAATTCTTTTACACATTAAGCTGCCCTAACCCAAAATACCTCAAAGCAGCCCCAAGATAAATTGAAGCAAGCGCGGCCCTCGGCAGTCCACTTGCCCCTGGACCGGCACTTTCAGCGAGGTTAACGGCAGATAGTGACAGATGCAGAGAACAAAACCGGGAAGGGAATGTTTCAGGCGACAGTAGGTATAGCTAAAGGAAATTATAGAAATTTTTGAGCTGATTCTCACTTGATGGAGCTTATGGTAGACGAGGGCGGCATGAGCATGATTTCGGCAGACCACTGGCTGGGGTGTTTCAGCATTTCTACCACGTCTGGCTAGCCATCGACCGATCCACATTGAATTTAGGAGATGTCGAATAATCTGGAAATTTTTGGTACTTTTGCATTATCGGGGGGTTGGCGGAATGGGAATAAACAAACTTTACAAATTTAATTAAAAAAATGAAAAAAAAGCGATTTTTCTAAAAATGACCAATTTCCGAAAGCTCGATTCTTCCCCCCGATAAGACAAAAGAACCACATTATTGTATACTATTAATAATTTCCTTTCGTTTTAGACAAACACGGTCTTGATTATCAATATTTCTAAATTACCCTACCTGCCAAGTTATAGAAAACATTGTCTCAATCCCAGCTGATGGTAATGGACGCTCGAGAATCTAAAAAATAAATAATAAGTCTAAAATTTATTATTATATAATTAACGTAAAATTTATTAACATACCGTCAATGCTTCAACCAAATTCCGATGCGCTTCTTTCAACAATCCTCTCTGTAAGCTATCCCTAGCCTTGTTTCTGACGTTCGTAAAATCGGTCCAGGTCTGCGATTGTAGGTCAATAACAGGTTCACCGTAAATCTAGAAGATTTTAACTTAATTTTACTTCCAAAAAACTTACAAATAATCGACTTAATAAGAAAACGACAACGACTAGATTGAGAATCCACGTAAAGCAAAAGCGGAAGGCGTCATTGGTATACCACTCTTCAGTTGACTGAAATTCTGGATTTAAGGTATAAACTCGGAAGCATACCTGCACCGGTTTTACCGGATCGGCAGAACGTAATACACGAGAATGATGATCAGGCTCATATAGAGTTTCGCCTAAATATGTATAAAAAAATTTAACTCACTGTTCGGTTCTTTTCCATTATCGGGGGGAGACAAACTATTTTCTAGATGTCTGAAAGGCCCATTATGTGCCCTAATCAAATTTTTTTAAACGTAGCTATGTTTTAAAAAACAGAAAATGAGAAATAGAAAAGTTTTAGAAAATAAACCATTTCGAAAAATCAATATTTTTTACAGTTAAGCAAAATTTTTAAAGTTTTTACGCTTACAAATAAGACAAAATAGTTTAGAAACGCTTCCTCTATTCATATGAAAAAATTTGATCTTTAACCCCCCGATAATGCCAAAGAACCTATCTTCCAATTTTTACCTGGCTCAACAGCGGCGGCACTCGAAAAAGTTAAAAGTGACAACGGATTCAAAAACATCACAGCCATCATAACAGCAAAAAGGCCGAGCCGGGTCTCGTCACGAGCTCTCCTTTTACCCCTCGGAGACGTTGCCGGCGATGTCTAAATTACGGTAACATTCTGAAACTCACAAAACGGTACCTGCCCGCTAGGTGGTGATCTTGGAGCGATAACTGACAATGGGGAATCGGGGCCAATTTCGAGGGGTGGTAGTGGGGGTGGCTAAAGGTTTGTTTAATTTTTTAAGGCATTAAAAATTACCTGGATTTTATTCTTATGCAAAACAGCTCTTAGAAAATAGATCTCGTGACGCAGCTCACGTATAGTGCTGTTTTGTTCCTCGATATATTCGATACCACGTCGTAATGTTGCCGATTTGCTTAGCTAAATGGAAAAGGTACTTTTCTACTATCGGGGGGGGGGCTTTTTCTATGAGGTCAGTATGTTTTAACATTAAAGATCTTGATGGTTTTCAATTAAAAAAAACTTTTCAAAAACTTTCGGATTGAATTTTGACGTCTTCTAACCTTGGCATCATCTCCAGCGAGCATAAGCTTCATCTGGTGTATACGGTCGTTAATAGAGCATCGATACTTCTTTTCGATGAGATTATGAGCTGTTCTGCGCTCAGTTTTCGGCCCTGAAAAAATCGTATTAGCAAAAATCGCCATAAGGGCGTAGGCTTGGGCTTAGGCTTAGACTCATATGCAAATTTTAAACTACCTTTCTTTGCAGGTGGACCTCCATCATCATCCATCTGATCATCCTCCTCATCCTCCTCATCGTCAAAACTTTGAGCAGCACTGTAGGGAGCAGCAGAAGTCGTTGGCTTTGGCTCCCTAACAGATGCCACGCGGAGTGCGACTCCCGATGGTCTGGGTTTAGTCTCACAAGGGGATTCGGGCTACAAATATATTTTAGTTTTACTCGATAAACATTTTTCTTTTTTAAACCTCTTGCTGATTCGTCCCTCTACTTTGTACCTTTCCCTTCTCCTGAAGACCGCCGAATTACGAATAGCTCCTTATCTCCCCCCTAGCAACCCGAAAAAATCGGACCAGCTGCAGGCATAAAACACGGCGAATTCGTAAACCCCCGATTTTGTTGACTAGAAATTTCTGGGACAAAAAGGTAGAGGGAGATAAGGTTCACGTGCAAATGCGAATCTTCTTCACATCCCGTGAATCAGCAAACACAAAATCAGCAGCACCACGAAAGCAAAGCTCACTGACCGCTGAATCAAGGGTGCGAATGTTGTTGGTCTCCAGCAGAGTGACGAGCAGCTTTTTTGAGTTTTCTTGCTCCGGCATCACGAACTCGCGATCATTTTTGGGGAGCTAAAATGGAGATAAAATTCTCTATTACTAATATTGCCAATATCAATAATGTTAGTTATTAATTAGGATAAAAGCCTCTAAAACTGACCTTTGGTGACGGGATCTCGTGCTTGATTTCGCCAAAGAATTGCGGCGGGCTGGGTGCCATATTTCGTTCCAAGAGTTCTTCAAGTCGGGGGCTGTCCATCTGAAAAAAAACCTGATTTAAAGTAATACGTGCATGCTAAGGTATCTAAAATGCCATTACGTACCTGTGTTTTCACCGGACTCGCCAGACTTAATGGCTCGATGGTAAGCGGAGATTCGGGCTGCATGGCGGGCATGGACAGATGATGAGCCTTAACGGTATCGTAATTAAATTTTGACAAAATAACCCACCAAGCCGTACTGTGACGTAGTGCCAAGCTCAACAAATGTCGGCTCCATCGGGCTTGACGCGCCGACAAGCTCGGGCAACAAGCTGCCGACACCGGTTGTATCACTAAAATTACTGGATTGATCCGAGAGAGTGGTAGCTTGCCTATAACTGTAGGTTGGCTGTTGGGTACAGCTCCACATTGGGTCACCCTGAAATGGTAAGCTTGTAATTTTAAAGCGATTGGCAAGGATGGCTAAAAAACTTTGGCTCTAGATTTGCGAAGGATTCTGTCGCAACCGCGAAACGCAAACGAACACTCCACGAAAATCGCTTAAAACTGTTTATTCGCTTAATTGCTAAAAGTAAGCGTGTTGCGTGTCGCGGATGCAGCGAAATGTATAGTTAATTTGCAGCGAATAAAAGCCGCGACACGCAACGCGCACGCACCGCTTGGACTTTGTAAACGGTGTTTAATGGATTATGGAACTTTGAAGGGAAGCGTACGCGTTGCGTGTTGCGGTTTGTGGCCCTACCTGGTGCCACGCGCATTTTTCGATGATACCTACCTGAAAATGAGGCGGGCTAAAATAGCTGGGACCCGGATTCTCGTGCGGTTTTCTTGGCGGGGAATCGGATTGTAGCAAAGAAACGATAGAGCCGATTTCTTTCGTTTTTTGCTCTTCATAGTAGACACCAGGGGGTGTGAGTTGTCGAAAGCCCTCAGGTGGGGCTACCCAATAGGGATCTAAAATTATAAATAATACATTTATAATAATAACCGATGATGCAAAATATTTCCTATAAAAGATCGTAGTCAAGGCCAAAAACTTACCATTAACTTGCGTGCTCCCTGAAGTCTGGACCCATTGCTGGTCGCCCTGTTCCCAGGTATTCCACATATGATTGCCACGGATTACTTCTAAAAATAAATAGGATTTTATATAAATGTTCAAAATATACGTAAAAAATATAAAATTAAAAATCAAAAACCCTACCTGTCACGTCGTTCAAGTCTGCCTCCAAAATCTGGAATGGATCATTTTTCCCGTATGGAGGGCATTCCATGCCTAAAACGACATTTATTGAAATTTAATATAGAAGATTAAAATGAGAAATTAAGATATATAAGCTCAATACGTTTAATAGAATTTAATAAAGGAAATAAATCCATAAAAATCAGAAGCTCAAATGACCAAATCGCCCCCAAAAGAAAGTTGTCTATTTGTGGGTGGATGGGTTAGGGGGTTGGAGGGGGCAGCGATAATCCAGGTAAAAACTGCCCGGCCGCTGATAAGAAAACGCGATTTTACATCTTTAGGGAGGGCTGTCTAACCGGGGCAACCCCCCGGCGGTTTATCGCGAAAAAAATAGCCAAATGACTGGTCATCTTGGATCATTGATCTGGGTTTAAAAACCCGAACAATCGAAATTACGGTTTAGAATTTAATTCAAAAGCTTTAAGGCTTTTTAAGGTTGTCATAAACATTAAAAACGATAAAGCACGTCAAAAACATTAAAACATCAAAATTAGGGTTATTTTGGGTCATTGATCTGGGTTTAACAGTTCGAAAATTTTAAATAAATTTTAAAACGTTGCTGAAAAAACATTCAACGTATTTTTAAAGTTATTATTAAGTGTAAAAATAGAGGAAACATTCAAAATCATATGATTTATGAGGTGCTAAGCCTAAGCCAAAGCCTAAGCCAAGCCTAGGCAAAGTCTAACCCTAGCCAGAGTATTTTTTAGGCTGTTATCAATATAAAAATGATAAAACCATGAAAATATCAGGCTCTGAGAAAGCTTAAAAAGCATAATAAACCCTAAAAGATGCTTGAAAACTTGAAAATCAACGAAAAAAAGGTGTGAAAAAGCTAGATTTTGACAGAATCCAGGTTTTTCTGATAATTTAAACTTTTTTCAGTTTGTTAAACCCCCAAAAATTAAATCAAAACATCAAAAACCACTGGCAAAACCCTAAAAAAACCTGGAAGTTTTTTGTGGGCCTCAAATGTTTGACCGTGCCGCGAGAGAGAGAACCCCCCCTTGGGAAAGTGAGTTGATATGTCGATGTTGTGTCGAGGGTCTCTCTTTCTCTCTCTATCCCTATCCCCTTCACTCCTCTAGCGCCCCAAAGGTTCAATCAATCGATCCACAGATAGCACACGTGGGCCCCTCACAAACCCATCAGTAACTCCAAGCAAAAAGTGCCGACATACACCTCTATCAAAATGCCGAATGCCGTTATGCTATCCAATGTTTCCGTCCGGAAATTGGTCCCGGAAAATCGGGCACTAAAAGCCATCACTCGGGTGGAAAATCGAGAAATCGCGGAAATCATAACAGCTCAAAACAAAAAGCTATAGAGCGGCCCCATGTGACAATTGATGGAGTGGGGTTGAGGTGATCAAAACGGAGGTACTTCTCCATTATTGGGGGGGGGGGAGAAACCTCCCTCATTTGAATTCGTAGCGAACGAGTAAAAGTGTCCACGCTCTTAAACATAGCTTTTAAGAACTTTTATGTATTTTACAATAGAAAAAACATGCTTAGGCTTCTCTGAGAAAACCCGATCCGGCCCACCCAGGGCGCACGGATGGAAATCAGTCCCGGCGGCACTCCCTGGGCTAGCTGATAAACCCGCGTAAAAAACGGTACTCAAGTAGAAAAAAGTGGCGGGCAAGAAGCGGAAAAAAGGAGAATTCCCCACCAGTCAACTGCCGTTTTTGTAAGGTCATTAAAAATGGGGCGAAAAGCGCTGTATAGCGGAAAATTGCTTGAAAAACGCTAGGGATACTGTATGATACAGTAAAAATTTCGTCGAGAATGAAAATAGCTTATAGAATAATAGGAAATTACGCTATGCATCCATAAACAACGAGTTCGAGCAGATCAAAATTTATTTAAGAGACGTCTGCCCGCAAAATTGCACCCAGATAAGCATTATTTATTGTTAAGAGCTTAGAAAAACCTTAACGCTACTGTACGAAACTGTCAGAAGCAAAAACAATGAAAAATTATATCAAATTTCATTCTACACTTAAAGGCAACGAGTTCAAGCTGTTCACAAGGGCTTTTTGGGAGATAAAAGTGGCCAGACACCCGTTGTTTACTGTTAAATGTTTATAAAACCCATTTTCCGACTGTATTCGATTTAATAGAAGTGACAAGAAAGCAACAAGTTTAATAACACCGCTACAAACCCAACATGAACAGGTTCGAGCGTTTTGGAAGGTTCGGGTTCTCTTTTGGGGGGCAAGGGTCAACGGGATCAACTTCACGGGGATAAAAGCAAAAAGAGCCTCTTTGCTCTCTTTCGTTTGAAGGGGGACACCCCCGGCTGGACAGTCGCCAGCCACCACGTGCGCTTGTCAAAACATACTATTTACGCAAGCAAGTCTATGGGCAAGTTTGGAAATATACTTTCAACATCTGTAATAAGGAGGAGTCACCACCGGAAGCCACGTGCTGGCTAGGCTATTTCCGTTTTGAAGCCAAAACTGAGATAGTTGGATCTAAGCGGGTGGACATGGAAAACTATGGTTTTTGGTTACAGATTTCTATGGATTTCCGCGATGCGACATGCAGCACACGCCTTCTAAAGGGACTGACAAGGCAAATTCATGGTTTTTCTGCATTATGACTCCCTATAAGCTTGGCTTGACCGAGACACGCAACGCGCATGACGTCTAAAGGGCCCGGTAAGGCAAAAATCATGGATTTTCTTGATTATCGACTCCCTTGACGGCGACACGCAACGCGCGCCACGTCTAAGAGAATCGGTAAGACAATGATCATGGATTTCTCTTGACTATGGACATCCTGTCGAGCTTTACCTACCCGCGACCCGCAACGCATGCGCCAATCGAAAAGGCTGGGAAGGGAAAAATCAGGTATTTTCATGATGGTGGACTGACTCGAGAGCCTGTTTGACGCGACACGCAACGCGCACGCACTATCGATTTCGTAATGGATTATGTGCAATCTAATGCTGGCTGGTATGCGTTGCGTGCCGCGGGTTGCATAAAATCTATGATTATCCATAGGCAAAAAATCATAGCAGCACCTTGCTTGTCTCTTCAAGAAGCCCGACGAGCCAAGGCTATGGAGATCTTATAAATTCAGCAGCAACACGCGACGCGGCCGTACGTCCTTTTATTGCTTAATGGTTTACAAGCTCTTTGCAAGCCAAATTGCGTTCCGTCTCGCTGCTAGATCAAAATCGATAGACAACCTATACCAAACAAATGCCATAGCAGCGTCTGACGCAATAAACAAGACCCTACGAAGCTGTTCGCCGTGCAAGTTGTCGCCGAATTCCGTTATCTACAATTTACACAGCTTACCCTCGCTTATCGTTTTTTTTTGGGGAAATCAATGGCAGACAGGAATACGGGGGAGCGTTCTCTAAAGATCAGACGCCAATCTGAAGCGATGTCTGGGATTTTATCTGGTTTTCCTCGCAAAAATCAGGGCAAATAAGCTCAAAATTTTGTGTCAAATTGCGTTCAGCCAGATTAAAACACATTGCGGATTTATCTGGTGTGAAAATCAGCAGTATGCGTCGACACTACCTTCACTTTTTAAGTAGCAAAAAATGGTTGGAGAGAGGAATCAGGGGAAGGAAGAGAGTTCACAAGTTGCTCAGCTGAAGAGCACGATAATTTTAACGGTATAAACTTGAGTTTTAAGCATGTAATATCCAGATCTGGTCTTGGTTTTCCACGCAAAATCGCGAAAATCTGGGGTTCGCGCCAGCTTTTTTGCGGCTTTCGACACTTGATGGATGCAATCTCTTATCAAAGCGAGAAAACGATTGGCACTCGAATGCCCCGAATTTTCTCGCCCAGTTGTGTCCTGTAGCCTGTCATTGCTAAAAATAGTAAAGAGGTTTGGGAGGTTTGTGTTTCGGACTGTTTATCGGTGTCGTGCTTTTGCAAAATTCTGCGGTTTCCCAGGTTCTTTCCCATTATCGGGGGGGGTGGAGACGGAAATGCCTGGTACTTTTTGTACTAATTTTTGGTGGAAAATCGACATTTTTGTCTTTTTAATTAAAATTTGTAACGTTTTACGCCTAAGAATAGTAGAAAACACCTTAAAAACACTTCCGCTATTTATATTTAAAAATTGGATCCGAAGAAAAAGTTGGTTCCCCCGTTAATGCAAAAGATCCGGTTCCAAAAACATAAAAAATAGTCAATATCCCGAATTTTCCAAAGGTTTGTGAATTATAGTGCGGTCAGATTAACAAACATCAAAAATTGATTTATAAATAAAAATACAAAGAAATACTTTTAACAACCAAGAGCAGAAACAAAAAAAACCGCAACGACTATCACAACAAAGACCCTTCCAGAGGGGTAAATAGCTGTTTTTATGCACCAGAAATTCGAGAAGATAGCTTACAGATCGTCGAATCTAATAAAACAATGAGATCGAGAATTTTTGAGGGTTACAAGAGAAAAAGGGTGAAAATTTAAGAGAGACATGTCAAGGTTTAAGGAACTCAAGATTGAGCGGAATTTACGCTTTCCGGCTGTGGACTTGGTGAAGCCGATTGTGCAGCTCCCTCCTCGTTCTCCTTGACGAGGAATTTGGTCCTCACCATCCCTTCGCCACGCCATTTCCACTTCATTCCGTGATCGTACATGAAGTTGATTTTCTATAGATAATTATTATTATTTTTGGGACATTAATGACTTACCGTCTCCAAAGTACCATCGGCCACTGAGTCTTGATAGATTTTGTAGAGCAATAGCGGCATTTGAGCATCAACTATGCTGTCATGTGTTTCACGGTGAATTTTCTGGTCTAAAATAAGGGATTTAAGGTATGGAATTAAAAATACCTAGTAGCATGAGCACGAGATACTGTAGGGATAACTGTCGACTCCCTCGGACTGGGGACCGGAAGAGTTTGACGGTATCAACGACGTTCCGCTCCGGGACCTAAATTTAATAAAAGTAATTTTATAATGTAAGTAATGTCAGAAAGTGTCGTTTATAAAAGTAGTAAGAAGCTTTTAAAACTCACAAAAACATTTAAAGCCCAGAAATCGTTGGCTATTCCGTGACCCACAAAAATTACATCACGCTCAATGAGGCAGTGGACTTTCATCAATACCTAAATATATTTATTTTGATTTATATCTTCGGATGATTAAATAATAAATATTAGCATATATAGCACATATTAAAAAAATTTTTACTAACCCGTTTCATCGTAGTCAGCAATTTTTTAGACGTCTGTCGCTTCAGATCATCCGCCACGACCCCACTAAATCAGAATATACTCCGGAATTCAGGAATTCTACAACCTGACATTAGTCGCGAAATCCCGAACGTACTCCTCCGGACACAACTCCACCAAATCATCCAAAATTACCTAAAAATATAGATTATTTAAGGTATCCTAACGTACGCTCCCATCATTACGGACGATGCTAAGACGAGCTACCGATTTGTACGTAGTTGGGCCACCCTAAAAAAATTTGATTTTTTAGAATCTACTCTATGGTTTACATAATCTATAATAAACAAAATTACCCGAGAAACTTCGATAAATTCGGCGTCGATCCCGACAATTCGTCCCTGACCTATCCCCGGGATCTGCTCCACCGGAATAGTTCTCGAAAGTTGTAAATCTCCGGATAAGCTGAACGGCTCGGTGAAAATGGACAGCGGGATAGTGGCCGGTTGGCATTTTGCTAAAATCAAGTTTTAGTATTTCCTAAAGCCTTTTAACTTACCAATTCCGAGCTGATCCTTTCGCACATACACCAAGACATGCGGCAGCTTCCACCTTTGATTGATATGTAGCGCCTCATTTGTCGGGATTTTCGCGTGGAAGAGCTCGTTTAATACCACCCATTTCTCGGTCGCTTTTCCGTTTACGATTTCTCGGACCTAGAAAAAGAAGTACTGGTCTGTTAGCGGGGGTCTTTTGCAGGGTGGGGCTAGTTTTTGTCTCTGCGCCCATACCTATTGATAATACAACCTGGATTTTAGGATGTTTTTAGTGGTTTTTTATTGCTGGAAATTTCTAAGAAATATGTTTTCATTTTAACTTTTTTAGTGATTTTTCATGCATTTTTGCCCAAAATCCTAAATTTTTCTAAAATTTTTATATTTTGATCTTATTATTATGATAAAACGTATAATTACTGTAAAATTATTTTATTTCGTTACATGGGCCGTACGGGATTAATTGGAAAATTTTGGTCCCCCGGCTAACGATCCAATACCGAAAAAAGTCAGCTACTTTGGAATTTAAAAATAAATTACCATTGGCACTGCATGATCCCAACGACCCGTTTCCGGATCCCCAATGACTGTTGTCAAAACAACTAGCGTATATTCAGCGCTGTCAGCGGCGTCCAACGGTGTTTCCGAGGCCTTCGGTATCCCGTGCTCAGCCGAGACGTAGATCTTTTCAGGTAGAACATGAGCCCATTCTCCTTCTTTCAACTCCGGCAACTAAAAACCATATTTTAAAAGGTCAGGCTATGCGACAAACCTCAGCTGGCCGTTGCCACTCGTTAACCTCATCCCAGAGCTGCTGATATTTCGGTGGGTGTTCGTAGGAGCATCGGGGATGATGACAGACAGCACCGTGCATGCAATTTTTAAGGCCAGTGTCGAGAGGGGGGACGAAGGCGGTTTTCGGGATTGTGTATGGGACACGGCGCTCGTCTTTCTGAAAAAAACGCTATTATCTTGTCTTGGGATTTATTTAATACCAATTACAAAGCCTTCATTTAGAAAACCTTAACCGTTAAATCCTGATCTATCAAATTCGTACGCTAAGCCATTCAAAAGAGGTTCTTATCCCATAACGGAGGGAATAAAATAAAATTAAGATGTTTCTATGATAGAAATGGTCTCAAGCATGGGCTTTTTGGGCTGTCAAAAAGGACTTACTATATTTTTCGGCCCTCTATCGATTGCTAATTGCAACAAACCGTAAAACTTTAAAATTCGGAAAATCCTTTGCCTAAGCGCTGTTTATCGTTTTTAGGCTATAAAGCTTTCAAATTAGTTTTTTTTTTGTTTTGCAAATAATTTTGTTAAAATATTTTTTGACGTTGTTTTGAGTATCATTTTTAAAATCTAGAAAACTGACAAATTTTGAATGTAAATAAGCCCTACGGACAGAAATTTTTCTCTAACTGTCTTTCTTACCTCGATCCTGGTCGACCAATACGTCGGGAATTGCTCGTGGACCTGATTACAATCTACCATCAGGACAGGAGGAATTCGCTTGACTCTAAAAACTCAAAATATAGGTATTTCGTCCGACACCTACTTTGCAGTATTGGTATGCGTCGTAGCCTTTTCACACGATTGGCAAAAAACTTCTCCGCAACTCTTCCTTGTCAACGCCTTCTCCATTAATCGCAAAAACGGAAGATTTAGGGCTTCTAAAACTAGGACTAGGTTAAAACTAGAAATTGTCGTACCGGGCGGATAATCAAGCTGAAGAATTGTGAAAGTATCGTCATTTTCCGAGACGGCATCACATCGTACGCATCTCTGGCTGACCAGCCGCTCCACACGCAAGGTGTCGATGAATTCATTAAAGAGCTGTTGAGATAGACTCTAAATTAGGGCTACAATAGGAGGTTTTTCAACCTCTACCTTTTCGATGGAACTCATTAAATGCGAGAACAAGGCGTGGGCTCGCACTTGGAGAAATTGGGAGTCCGAGTAGTTCGTGTTCATGACTCGAATCATATTTACAAGCTAAAACAGATAGATTTGGAATACAAAAAAATGGTTCTTTCGCATTAGCGGGGGGTTTCGGGATTTTTATTAAAAACTATTATAGGTATCGATTTTTGGGCCAGACATTTCATCCAAAATGTCAACTTTTCAATTTTTTTAGAGTTTTTAGAATTTTAGAGTTTTTATAGTTATATTTTACTAAAAAACACTACAAAATTATATCTATTAAATTATTAGACGTTTCTACACTTCGACAAAAAATTCGCCCCTCCCCCCGATAATGCCAAAGAACCCAGAATCTCACCGAGGTCGGCGTAGCGGTATTACTTTCCGCCAAAAAACGGAAAATGAACATCAGCTGACACACGAGACAGTCATCATCAAAACAAGTATGCTGCATGATGATGTTTCGTAGAGGCATCGTCCAAAAGAATACCTAAAAAATTATTAAAATCAATTTCTATAAATCCTACCATCACTAGTGGCTGTAGTACTCCAGATTCGCAATTTGGCTCGACGCCAGTATGTTCAGTGTAATAAGGATTTAAACTAAAAATACATCATTTTTATCGATTTTTCAAGCCACCTGACGAAATGCGACTCATCAAAGAATTTTCGTACTCGTTGCTTTGCCACGTAGTCGCTCAGCCGTTTCTGGTAAAAAATCGGGACAACAGCTTGTAGTCGTGAAACCGTCATGATGGATTCTGAAGAAAATCATGGAAAAAGGTGAAATTCATACCAGAATCGTCCAACTCGTAGGGGACCAAGTTGTAGTTTCTCAGATTCAGATGGGCCAGCGGGTTTTTCGAGTAGCCGACAAATTGGCGAACGGTGACGTTTTTGATGTCAAAAGTTTGTCGGGGGACCCTGGAATCAGGTTAATTATGCAAGTATCGTTAAGGCAATTGCGGCATAGAGAAATTTTAAGCCCAGATTTTTTATTAATATAAGTTGTTGTAATGATTTTCGATTAGCGAAGTTCTTTTAAATTATCAAAGTCTTTATTTCAAAGGTTTTTAATATGTTTTTAAGTATCCTCCGGCTAAATTGAGGTTTCTAAGTTTGTTTCAAAGTAGTTACATCATGTTTAAGAATTTTTTGGATATATTTCTAGGTATTCAACAATATTTTCGAGTTATAATAGCTTCAAAAACTAGGTTCAGCGCACTTGTAATTCGGACGACACTGCTCTTCCGGCCAATCTGAAAGCAAGTCCTCAGAATGCGGAAATGGCATCGGCACGGCGGCAAAGCTGGTCGCTTCATCGTCATAGGTGATCGACAAGGGTGGCCCAAGCTAAATTCAAAACTTAATTATTTTTCTTTCGCTTAATAAGCATCAAAAATAAGACTAACAACAGGATCCGGAAGATGCGTAGGCATCGGGTTGTCCGTAAAATGTCCCGAGGTGTTCTCCGGACTGGTGATGAATAGTTGGCCTGAAAATGTGAATTTCAACTTGAGTTCACGTAATTCATACCGTAAACTCCCAAAGCCACCGCCTTATTGTTGCTACTAATACAGCAGCAATCGAGTTGTTGCACATTTGAGACCTAAATCGGGTGTATTTTTCTCTATTAAATCGCCGAACCCCGATACCACTCGCAAAAACCAACGAAGCTCCTCGCCCGTGAATTGCTTTGTAGCAAAAAATTGAGCCGCTCTAAAATGTATATAAAATTTTTTATACAGTATCTCACGTCGCTAACTATCAACACCGTCCACCCTTCCGGTTCTTCTTTAACAATTTTGCAAAGTCGTGGCCGGGTCACGCTCACGGCTTGGATCATCTTTAATCGAGTTGATAGAGTTTTTAAAGATTTCTTACCCGGTAGTCACGCAATGAAAAGATTTTTACAAAAGGCTCGTGCTCATAAACGCCGTTTCTAAAAATATTTAAGGTTGACTTCTATGATAAACTAACTTTAGAAACATCCCGCAAAAGGTTAGATAGTCATGGCCGACGTCAATATCGTTGATGGCCGCGGTCTGGACGCTGATGACTCTTACGGTAGCAAATGAATCGATATTCATAACCACGATCTAAAAAATTATTGTGTTAAGCGCTTATTTATTAAAAAAAGTATGCTTTTATACCCACTTTTCCAGAAGCTGATCCCGCGAAAATCAACTTCGCATTTCCTTTCAGATGTGTAACCTCGGTCACTTCCGGTAAGGGATACTAAAAATCATTTAATTTTTATTTTCCATGATCGAGTCTACCTTAGAATACTGTGGATCCTCCCCTTCCGGAAGTATACATTTAACAAGGTGCGGCTTAAATTATTTTACTTTAACGCCTTACAAAACCTCTAAACCTGATTCCCGGCAAAAATAACCGTCAGAGGATCAACCGGAGTCACAAAAACACACCGCAAATCCACGAATTCCGGGGTTCTAAAGGGTATCATTTACTTGGTTGGGACAAAAGGCATGTAAATAATCGGTTAATTTCGTATAACCTACTGCATAGTGACAAAATGAATTCCCTCTTTGCTCCAGACTCCGACTTTCTTGCTCGTCACCGCCAAAACGGAGTCTTGGAAGATGTGAAAAGCTCGGATCTCAACCTTTGATGATTTTACTGATCTTTTGGCTTACCGGTTTGTCGTATTCGCCTTGTCCAAAGACTTCAAAAGAGGTCCGTAGCTCGTAGTCCTTATAATATGATATCACGTGGCCCTGAAATTAATTATATTAAGAAGATTACGATGAAAAACGGAACAAACCGCTTCCGTGCCGACCCAAAGAAGATCTTGAAACGGGTCAAAAGTGACGACCGTTATGTTTGAGAAGCATGGATGGGTTGCCAGGCCTCCGACCTGGACTTGGCCACTGCTTTGCCACTAAAAAGTTGACAATTTTTGGTTATAATTAATATCACACTAACCTCCTGTTCCCAGGGGACATCGGGCCCTCCAGGATCGGCGTGGGCGATCATGTTCTGAAAAGGTATTGGAAGTAAATCCAGTTTTACTAGTAATATTTAGGGATTAAAACGTAGGTTTTACATTATATCCTGCATATCTGGTACGCTTTTGCATGTTTTAAACGATTTTGACATTTATTTTGATTGAATCAGCCCTAGAAGGTAGATTAAGCGAGCTGGGAGTTGAAGAGGACGCTACTTTCCGTTATATCAAACTGCGATATCAGATAAAAGGCGTAAAGAACCTAAATATTTCAATTTACAACTTGTCAACGAGCGCATTTTTGGACTTGCTTTGCCTCTCAAAATGTTTAAGCTAACGGTTCGCCAAAAAGCCACAGAGTTCAGGTGTGCATAGTAGCACCGCGGACAGAGGTTGGCGGCCAACATCTGGCATTCTTTCCAGGGATACAGATTATATATGCCAGATGCTGGGCAGAGGCCAGATTCGCGACATTATGTTAAAAATAACAAGTTTATTCATGCATCAAAATTGCCGCGTTTTTTATAAAAAATTAAATGTAAAAAGTGTTTATTAAAAATTAAAAATTCAAGCCTCTTCATAGCACTGATTTGATACAGAATTATTTGCTTGCCCAGTTGACTGTGATGTAGCTGATGGCCTGCTACGAATTCTGAAATTAATAGAATAAAAATAACTGTAAAATAATTTTTAAGGTACCTGTTATACTTCTCCTTGCCACGCGAATACAGCTCCAAAAACCACCCTTTCCTCCAGGCCACGAAAATGGCAATCCCGACAAAGCAAAAGAAGAGCAGATACCAAAGCAAAGTCTAAAAATCGAATAATTTATTTTGTACTTTGTGGCTACCATTTTTCGTTGTAAATCGTCCATCAGCGCCGTTATATCACTTGTAGTATCATCAATCTTGCGTTGCAGCTCCTGAATTAAATTCTATTTTGTAAGAAAAATAGAAAATCTTACAGCTTCCACATCTTTATGCGCTTCCGATTCGCTAGAAAACGCCTGTTCCGTTAATTGCCGTAAGGCAACGAAGTTGCGGACCACGAGGTCGAGATCCTGGCATTTAAAAAACTGCGAAAAATTCTTATAGGTAGCTAACTTCTTTGATGTCCGTAAAATTGTCCCATAATTCATCGGTAGTAGTATAGAGACGTGTCATGGTTACATTGAAGGTTTCTATTAGCTATAAGGGTTTGCTATTAGCTTCATATGGAAAAATGTATAATTCGATAACCATCTTCTAGACACACGAAATCCCGACAATCGAGAATGCCGACAGCCGAAATCCCGACAAAATCCCGACAAAATCCCGACAGTCAGGATCTAGAGAACCGAAATACCGACACAAAATCCCGAAAACCAGAATCCGACAGTAAGAATCTCCGGAGCGAAAATCCCGACACACCAAAATCACGACAGCCATAATATCGACAGCAAAAATCCCGACAAACCGAAATCCCCAAGCCAAAATCTAGGAATACAAACTCGCTGATGACGGCTAATAAGAAGCGTAAAGAATATGCCGGGATTCTAACTGTCGGGACTTTCGCCGTCGCAGTTTTGGCTGTCGGTATTCTGGCTGGCGGTATCCTGGCTGTCGGTATTTTGGTTGGAATTCCTTGAATATTAAAGTAAATACCTTCATAACTTGATCTCTCTTCTCTCCGGTCCTATTCATATGACCCTCCATCTCCAGGGTCACATTCATTAATGCGTCTTGTCGAATGTGTTCATGGGTCTGTAACTGCCTAATTTAAAAATTAGAATACTTTCACATACAGCAGCATTAGAATATGGGTATTCACAAATCCGGGCGTGCTTTTCGTCTTTTGACTCTTCTTTCCAGTTTCCATTTCCGAGAAGCTGAAGTATAGATGTTTTTCTATTTTTTTTTGGTACAGTTCTGTTAGCGGGGGGAAAGGTTCTTAGCGAGCGTAAACACAGACAAAAGAATAAAATTAGGCCCCCGCTAACAGTCCAATACCATTTCCCTAACCTACCGTATACGCTCCCTTTGACGCCCTCTCTGCTATCTCGCTGTACGGATTAACCCACTGAGCCCGAAGTCCATTATGACGAGTCCACATTTTCATCTCGTGATCATACTCTATCCCGATCCATACCCTACCAGTGATATGCTTTCCTAGATATCTCTCGCTTTCGAAAAACGTGAACACGCGATTATTACCAAAACTTGAAGCCAGAAAAAGATTCGTAGCTTCATCAGGCACGTATGCTAATTCACCATCGCTATTTTTGCATGCGGCCTGGGCTTCCGTATAGTCCAATAGGTCCCAGGAAAGCTTGAAAATATGAAGCAATTACGAAAAAGAGTTAGAAACCTGGTAACAGGAATGGCGACGACAGAAAAGGGTTTGGGATCGGCATATAGAAAATACTAAATAATACATTTTAGTTGTGTAATTAATATGAAAGTTACCTAAACAGATTATAATAAAAAATCGGAGCTTCATCGTGAATCGTTAGTAAATGGTGACTTTGAGTCATCATCGAGGATTTGTTTACTTTTTAGAACGTAGCCGGAGCTGCACATCTGGTCCAGCTTCTGTGGTGGGATCTGGCGGAACTGTAGATATGCTTGTATTTTATATAATAAAACCATTTTGTACTAAATTGAACGGAAATTGATTTTGTGATGATCCTTAAAGTGTGGCTTCTAGCGACAATTACCTTACAAACTTTATCCAAAAACACAACGAGGAAATACACGTAAAAAGATGTGGAAAAATTTATGAAAATTGTCTGTCTACCGATATGTAGATGAGGTACTTAGAAGCCAAGCTGCTTGTAGAGCTTGGGCACATAATCGTCATGCTCGGCTTGGAAGAAGTTTCCGGCGATCGGTTGGCCAAGGTTGTGCTTTTTGGCGAACGCGCGGGCTTCGAAGCCGTCGCGCTTGGCGGCTGAAATAGATATATTTTCATTTTTATGTATTTTACAATTTCTAATACAATCATCATTAATAGAAGTAGTAGAACAATTACTATTTTTTTTTACTTACGAGAAGTATTTGTCAAATGCCCATGCTCAGCATCAGACAACTTTCCAGGCTGCTTCCAGAGCAGGAAGACGTAGCGATGGAGGCCTGAATTCAGGGAGAACGAGCTATAATTAAATAAATTAAAATCATACCGGTATTCGGTGGAGGTCCAGCCCCAACATAAGCCGAAAGCACCTCTCCCTCGCTGACCTTGTTGCCAGGAATATTGGCAACGAGCCAGTGATGCCACTCCAGCTTCCCCTCCTTTCTGGATGGAGCATCAGGGTCTGAAAGGTATAATTAATAAGCTATATAATAAATTTAGACTCTTTAAAATCGCTTCAAATCGTACTCACCAGTCAGCAACAGCGTATAAAGAGCATCAGCTTCCGCCTCCCAGGAGACTTGAGGTGGATTTTGGACTTGAGTAGGAGTCAGCACGTTTCCGAGCTCGGCCTAAAATTTTAATAAATTAAGTTTATACGTTTTTTAACCGTTTTATTAAATTAAGCCAAAAACCAACCTTGACTCCCGAATCATAGCTGACTTGTAACTCCTTGGCAGGAGCAGCATCAATCACCCTGGGGACGACCTCGTGCTCTTGGAATTTGGCGGAGATGTCGTTCGTCATTCTAGGAATTAAATTGTATGATTATTTTATTGATTTAAGAAGGTATATAATTTTCACAAACGTTAGGGGTGAATCTAGAAGCACCTTATTAAAACCAGAGTTGGACTTCAGCAAAGAGAAATAATAAGGAGTAGTCGGTAAAGGGATCCTGTTTAAATAGATTATCATAGCAAACATTGATATCATAACACACTAATAGATTACGGTACGCGTCAATAGTAGTGCTAAGGAAATTCAGCAGATGTCTTACATATGAATCAGGATATGCACTACTAAAGCAAGCACTAAAAATCAGTAAAAACAATTTTTGAAAAACATACATGTTTTGGGATTTTTAAATGAGAATATAAATATATTTATGACACTGATACAGTATGATCTGCGGCGTTAGTAGTGTCGCGGAAATATCACGTACGCTAGTCCTAAGATAAAATAAAACTTTTCTGGCAAATGAATTGTTATAAAAACCAAGGAAAAATCGTCGAAAAAACAACCGTGGTAATTGTCGACCAAACACAACATATAAATATCCTGACTACTGCAAATGTGTGACGATGGGCGTAGGTCGTAGCCCGAAGAGAGAGACGTCTTGCCTTGCCATGCCTTTCGCATTGCTTTCGCAGTGTAAAACTGGGTCTTTCTTCCTGTCTTCCCCAGGGTCAGCCTAACATTTTCACGTTTCGCCCCTCTTGCTTCCCGGTCGGGGCATTAAAAGGAATATTTACGAAAACAAATGATGATTTTTCTTTGAAATATCACGGGAAAAGCGTTGTAATTTGTAGTTTTTTCTAGTTTTTCTTGTATTAAAGGAAATACTATAGATTTTCACTTCAGTGGTCCTTTAATGCATATATCTACGTTGTTAGTATTACAGCGGAAGTTTTCAGATGTCCCTCAGCAGCCAAGGAGATGCTGGCACCAGAAAAACCCCGATCCCCAGGGCGAAAGACCAGGACTCCTTCGACGACTCGATATACCCACCCTTCTTAAAAAATGTAGGATACCTTAACTATACCTTAAGTGACTTAGATGGACGCAAAACTACCCGATTACGCAAGAGAAGGGGATATCGAATATCCGTTTGAAGAATCGAGCGGTATTGGGGATGAAAATCGGTAGTATTACTTGGAAAATCTCGACTTTCTTTAGAGTCCGCGGAAACTGGACCAACAAATCAGATTATCTACTTTCTGTAGTGGGATTTGTATTTGGATTAGGTATTCAAATTAAGCCAATTAATGCCAGTTTTCAGGAAATGTTTGGAGATTCCCATTTTTAATGTTTTCCTACGGTGGTCTCGCGTTTTTGGTGCCGTATTTTGTGGCGTTAGTGGTGAGTCGCACTCAAAAAAGCAAGCTGAAAAATTCTAATTACAAGCCAATAATAATTAATAAATATAATCCAATTCTAGATCGCTGCCATGCCAATGATTTTTGTCGAATCTGTTCTTGGCCAATTTTCTAGCCTCTCGGCAATTGCCGTATGGAAAGTTGTGCCACTTTTTAAAGGTTTAAAAACTTTAAAAAATTAAATAACTCTATTCCCAAGGTATTGGTGTAACAATGATCATGATCTGCGCCCTCCTGGCCATCTATTTCAACCTGGTCACGGCGTGGAGTCTCTTCTACCTCTTCAACTCGATCAGCTTCTCGTTGCCCTGGAGCAACTGCGCGAATTCGTGGAGTGGATTGAGTATGTTTTTTAGACTTTTAAGGTAGTAAAAAGCTACCTAGATTGTACTCTTGGGTCGAGAGCTACTTGTATTGAAATGAACGGGACAATCCTTGCCAACGGTACATGCTTGTTGACGGTAGGGAGGGTAGGGGAGTCTCACACAAATATTTACCTAGATCGACAACGAGACCCAGCTGATCGGGCTGAAGGATGGGAATGAAATACCGAGTCTACGCTATTTTCAGTAGGTTTCCTTACTCTAATAACATTTCAAGGGACTTTTGCATTATCGGGGGGCGTCGCGACTTTTTGTATAAGTTTAGAAATGCCTAGTTTAGAAATTAAATTAAAATTAGAATTTTTTTTAATAAAAACTTCTAACGTTTTTACGTCTAAAAATATTCATAAAAAGCATTTTCGAACGCTTCCGCTATTTATATTTGAAACTTCCTATCCTAAGAAAAGTTGGTTCCACTCCCCCTTCCCCCGATAATGCACAAGAACCTATTTTATTGATTTTATTATTTTAGTGATGAGGTGTTAATGCTATCAAGCAGTTTTGATGAATTTGGAACGCTAAATTGGTAATTTACAACTTTTAATACCTACATTTTGGTAGGTATCTCGGAATATGTGTCCTTATCTCATGGATCGGCGCTTTTCTGTGTCTTTTCCAAGGTGTAAAATCAAGTGGGAAGGTATGGATTATCGTAATCGATGTAAATCAGGGCGTTTAAGGTATCCTACGTAATGGTTCTACTCCCCTTCATCATAATGTGCGTACTATTCGCGAGATTACTGTCGCTGGGCGGTAGTTTGGATGGTGTGCTGCACTTTTTTAAACCGGATTGGAGTGTGTTGACTGGTTTTACGGTAAGTAATAGTAATAATAAAATAAATTAAGCAAATAATAAAGTAGAATAATACGTAAAGAGTACTCCTTTGAAAGTAGAAAATTGGGGTTCATTCGCATTATCGGAGGGGGGGTTCAGGGAAGGAGGAATCAATTTTTTTTCTATTAGTCCAGAAATGCCTAGTAACGTAAGAGCAAGTATTTAATAGCGTTTTTAGCAAACTTAACTTTAGCAACATTTTTTCTATCAACATCTCAAACTCACACTTTTAGCAACATTTTTTCTATCGACATCTCAAAAATTCGATCCCCAAAAATTTGTATTCAGGTATGGGGCCAAGCCGGAGTACACGTATTCTATTCTGTAAGCTGCTGCACAGGCGGATTGATCACCCTCAGCAGCTATAATCGATTCCACAACAACCTCTTCAAGTTTGTAAAATCACGATTAATAATAATAAGCATTTTAGGGATATTTGGGTGATAATCTTTGTGGATTGTTTCTCTTCGCTTTGTGCGTGTGTGCTGACTTTTGCCGCGCTGGGCTTCATCTGCCATCAATTCTCGATCGGATTCGATCAAATTCAAATAGCTGGTAGGTATCATACTATTAAAAATCATGAGCTTTCAGATGGTGCTCATCTGGTATTCGTATTTCTGGCAGAGGCGCTTTCTGGAGTGCCAGTGGCTCCGCTGTACTGTGGATTATTTTTCTTGATGATATGTCTCGTAACGCTTAGCACCCAGGTAAGCCTCAAAAACCAACAATATAACATTAAATTCAGCTATTCATCGTTGAAACAATCGTGACATCAATTTGTGATGAATTTCCAGAAAGATTGAGGAAAAACAGGTATAAAAAAGGTTCTTTCGCATTATCGGGAGGGGGGGGGGGCTTTTTCTGAGGAACCGGATGAATCCAATATAAACAGTAAAAGTGTTTCTAAATTGTTTTATACTATACAAAACGTAAATACTTTACAAATTTTTATGAAAAAATACAAAAAAATATAGATTTTTCGATAAAAATGGCCAATTTTGACAAAAATGTCCGCTTTTCAAAAAATTTGAATGAATTTTTAAGTTCAAATAAACTTGGATTCTACTAAAACAATAATAAAATACTTTCTCTCAACTTGCTAGCCATTTGTAAACATAAACACAACCCCCCACCCCCGATAATGCGAAAGATCCAAAAAAAACGACATAAATCAAAAATATATCTAGACGCCATGTCCTAACAACAATCTGCGCCTGTTTTATCCTACTAAGCATCCCTTTTTGCACATCGGTAAGTTTCATATAAGAAAAATTGGGCGAGAAAAACATTGGTTTTGCAGCCGGGCATGTACTGGCTGCTCCTTATCGATCACTTTGTAATCACTTGGCCCATTCTGGTGATCGCTTTTCTGGAATGTATGGCCATATCCTGGATCTATGGCGTCGACAACTTATTGGATAACATAAAGGTATCAAAAATCCTTGAAAATTATTTCCTTCTTTCTAGTGGATAACCGGCACGTACCCACCCTTCTACATGATGTGGAAATTACTGCTAAAGTTCTGTTGCCCTGCTGTTTATTTGGTTGGTTGGTTGGGGAATGGGCTATTGATTGATAACAATTGGAAAGAACACGTTGAGATTGTCCTAAAAAGATATTATTTACTTATTTACAAAAAACAAGTCTTGGAAAAAAATCGAAAAAAGGATAATTTCAGTGCATTCTTTGCTTCTTACTACTAGAATGGAAACCAATATACTATGGATCTTATCAATTCCCATATTGGACGGTAGGCTTTCATAAAAAATATAAAATACGATACTTTAAGATATTATTGGGATGGGGTATCTCATTACTGCCACTACTTGCCATTCCGATAACTGGAATCACGCAAATTCTGATGGCAAACGGGACATTTATACAGGTAAGAGCCAAAAAAAAGAAAAACTATCTAAATTAATGAAATCTATATAGTCAATTTAATAAATAAACCTATTATACTAATTTTTAAGAGATGGCGCACCGTGCTCAACCCAGACGATTCCTGGGGCCCGGCCCTCGCCATCCATCGCGCCGAACAATTCCCGCTTCAAGTCCCCGAAGCCAGGCGGCTTCTCCTGCCCCCAGAGCTTGAGTTCAACTACAAATCCACGGAAAAGAGCTTGAATGTAAAAAACTGATCAAAAAACACATACAATAAAGTTACAGGAGGACCACGCTGCATCAAAAGTCGAGCCGAAACCGCCTAGTATCCCGCGTTCACAGGTATGTTCTATATATTTTTAATACGTTTCGAAATTTAGAATTAAACAAGCGTTTTGAGAATTAATTTCGACATTTTCCAAAATAAAAAAAGAAAATCTAAGTACGGAACTTTCCAGGCTCCGAGCACACGGTCGATAGCAGCGACGCGGAACAGCCTTCCGACTTTTGAGCGAGAAACCGCGATCTAGGAATTTTTCTTTGTAAATTCACCTTTCCTTTTCTTTTTTTTGTTTTATTCCTCTTTTCTAAATACAAAATTGGTTTCTTGTTTTTTAGTAATAGTCCGTGTCGTGCTTTCGTAACTCTTTCGGTTTTTCTCTGATGAAACGCTGCCTTTTTTCATAATATCCACATCGGGTCGCCGCATAAATCTGTTTTTCATGCATAAATTCTGCCTTCAGGATTGTCAATTTGATCTCCTAGACACCTCTTCGCCAAACCCCATGCCATAATGCCTTATTTCTTTTGTTTTATTTGCTTATTTAGCTTCAAAAAATAAATTCTAACTTCAAGCCTCCCAAACAATCATAATCGTCTTTTCCAAGCTCTGCTATTTTTTTTCGATTATTGGTATTGATTTTCTATAGTTTGATTTCAGCCTTAGATGGAGCGCTTCGAGACAGATTGGGATGGCTATGTCAAGGATCTACAGCAGCTCGAGGTATTCCTCGATCGTACTTCTTTTAAATGAGTTTTAGAAAGAGCACGAAAAGTACCTGAAAGCCATGCAAGAAGTGAGAAAGATGCAAGAGAAGAACTTGAAGCTCGTGAAACATCAAGGATATTTATTGGCACAGTTGAAGGATCAGATGAGCAAGTAAGGATTTTGCTTTCATTTCTAACGTAATCGCCTAGAGTACAGCATGGCGGAAGTGAGGCGGAACAAGAGAAGCTTCGTTCCTTCAAAACACAGGTGTTTTTGCCCTCATTTCCTTTATTTTGCTATAGATTGAAGAAACGAAGAGCCGGCTTCAGGAAATGCAGAACGAGCTGCCGGTCCAGAACAATGGTTTTTATTTGAACTTGATACTTGGTAGGCCTTTATCAGCTACCTTTTTATACATATTTTAGGTTCTAATCTTAACGTCTCGCTTCTAACAAGCAATGACCGATACAATTACAAGCAAGAGTACGAGAATTTCAAGTGGAAGGTTTGTTTCTTCGATTTATTCTTGCATCCACATGTTTAGGTGACGTTTGCCGTGCTCGTTGTTCTTGCCCTAAGCTACATCTTTCCGTACCGGGTTCTCGATTCGATGGAAAACTTCATCATGGTATATTATGTCCCCCAAAGGGTGTATTTTCGATTGCTTTAGGTTTGGTATTACTGCACGCTAACAATCCGGGAGTCGATTTTGCGGATTAATGGTTCAAAGTACGTGATTTAGCGCGTTTCAAAAGTTTTCTTTAGGATCAAGGGCTGGTGGGTGCTGCACCATTATCTTTCGTGCATCTTGTGCGGCATCCATTTGACATGGAAGGATGGGCCTTGTTATCAAGAATTCCGTCCTCAATTCCTGCTCTTCGTCGCCTACATTGGTTTGGTGCAGCTGATGCAGAGTCAATACCAAAGTGGATGCCTGCGCAGGTGTCTGGCTTTATAATTTTTTTGTATCAAGTTTTTTTTCCAGACTTCACGCTCTTGGCCAAGGCCATCAAATGGACATCACCGTTGAGGGTTTCCAGTCATGGATGTTCAAGGGATTGACGTTCCTACTTCCGTTCCTCATCCTTGGCTATGTAAGCAATATCAATTTACGCTAATTCTCTGTTTTTTTTAGGGCTTCCAACTCTACAATGCCTATTCGCTGTTCAGCCTCTCTCGTCGTTGCAGTGGGCAGTGGCAGGTAAACTATTTTTTTTCAGATTTTGCTAACGTAGAAACATTCCCGTTACGTGTATGTATGTTCATTTTCAGGTCTTTGCCCTCTCACTCCTCTTTGCTATCATCGGCATTGGCAATATGTGGACCACAACGCTTGTCATCTTGAAGAAGGTATCACAATTTCTCGTTTCTCAACCCTTTTTTTCTAGATTCGCGGCTCAAACAGCACCAGCATAGTTCGGAAATACCGGGAGAAGAAGCAAGAATGAAGATATTACGAGGTTAACTAGTCTTTTTCACCGTTTGATATTTGATGCCTTTTTTGCGCTTGTACGGTTTTTGTGAAAAAATCATTTAGAAATTTTTGAACTGTGCACTGCATTGAAATGAGAGGGGTTGCAGTTGGGGGCATTTCCATGACAAGCCGACAGCCTCCTTTTTTTTCTCCAAAAAAGGGGTCGCCGCATCGACAACAAGGGGGAAATCGAGCGCACTGGTCTGCTGCCCCCAAGAGAAGATATCAACCAAAAATCGCGAATTTCTCCCTCGCCATGTTCAAAGAGTGGTACGTTGGGCTACTTTATTCAGCGTCATAATTTCGACTAGAATTATATACATATACACGAGAAAGAAGCCAACCTGTAGAATAGAAATCGGTCGGGCTGAAAAACTGGGATTGTGAAAAGGCGAATCGACAGTACAAAGACGTGAATTTGGACTAGCGAGTTTGGGTCTCTGATATTGCGAGTGACAATCGATACAGTGCATAGAAGGAGGACAGAAAAACAGCATGCCGGGATTCAATTAATGACTAACTGGGCGATTTCCTTGCCCGGGTACGGTGTTGCTCCAATCGGGTACCTGAAAGCCGGCAGCTTTTTCATGATCTGGACAAATACCTGCGCTGCCATCGTCAAATTGCGGCGCGAAGATGTGCTATAGATTGGCAAGAGCTCGTTTGCTTCGACGGGAATGGCCTGAAAGTTTTAGATAGTTTCCTCAGCGCCAGAAGGTGTAGTTTACCTTCATATAAATACAGGCATCCGTTCCGTAGCCTTCCATCGACACCAAAAACAGGTCGCCCAAAAAGTAGCGAGCATAAAGTCTCGATAACGGCAGCCCATACCCGTACCCCGCCTGCCAAAGTTCTTCCTTAGTTTCTGATTATTGACTTACTAGTGGCGCTTGGCTGCCATCACGTGTAGGCGGCGGGGCTGTACTGTACATATAATTGAAAAGACGATCCAAGATTGTGCGCGACACGCCACCTCCGCGATCGCTGATCTAAATTTTTACGATTTATTTTATTTAGTTTTTCAAGTCTACCTTGATGCTCAAATCTTCGGCACCAAGTACTACGCGAGCCTTCACCATCGGCAGGTCGTCATCAACCCCATGAAACTCGATGGTAGCCCGCATTGCATTCTGAATAGTTCGTAAGGTTTCTTTAGCGATAACGCATTAGTTATACATTTGTTATATAGTACTTACCTTAAATAACTCAAACATGATATGATATAGGTGGCTGGGGACAGCAACGATTGAGATTGGACGATCCTTGTCGATGGTGTTGAACATCTCCAACTTCATGGCCGGCGAGACCATGTAGTACCGGTCACACAGAAATCGAGCATTTTCGAACGCATCGTGGACGACACTTTCTACATCACATGCCGGGTCGATGCAGCCGACATGTCGTGGACTTTCGGGCAGCACGTTTCCGAATACAACCTAAAAACGGTATGATACTTATTGATCATGGGTTTTAGATTTATTAGATTTTGCTAATCTTTTCCGATAACTTACAAGATGTTGATTTTGTAGCATGCGGATCGAGATCCGGTTGATGTAGAATCGGTCCAGGAAATATTGTATTCCCTTTTCTGACGCGATATCAACACCATTTCGATCTCGCAGCTCAATTAGCCCCTCGGCCATTGTTTCGACGACGTGCGAGTGACGCTTGAGTATCGATTGTACTTTGTCGTTAAACCTAGAATGATTAGAAAATATATCTAAACGCTTCCCCCTTCCCTACCGATTCATCGTCTCGCTGGTTGGATCACGCGCTTCAAATTCTAACAATTCTTCGAAACTATCCTGATACCAACTAGCCACCATCTTCGAAGAAGGCATATCGAGTAGAGTCGGTGGCAATAAAGAAATCTCCTGAAATTATTCAGGCTATTTTCTTAATTTCTACCTTACCTGCATAATATTGGATAATCGGACTAGTAACTCGTTCTTCAGGAAAACATAAGAAGTGGTGGCGGTACCCGTGCGACCAAAATCGAGATATCTAAAGGCCGGCCTGTAAGATACATAAAATTATCCCCCACTGTTGAATAGTAAGCGGCGACGGCTGGAACTGGGAGTAGTGTTCCAGCTTTTTCGATATTGCCCCGACGAAGGGGCCAAGGAGACGCGGTGAAAACCGCATCTAGAATTTGTAGATGATCATTTAGAACGGGATGCCCAGATTTTGACCCCAAAAAGAAAGCACCAGCACCTGGACAAAACGGGTATATGACATGCAATGGACAGTGGGTGAAAGGAAAGTAGAAAAACAAAATCCAAAATCGAGTCTATTTTACCAGGAAGCTTTGCCATTGTGGCTGTCGGGCCGTGCACGGTATCAATTCAAGATAGCGATCGGGAGCCGCGTGGGGGAGAGCTACGCACCAACACTAACGACACTCACGCCGTGCGCACTCCCCTCAACAGCTTCCCCCCAAGAAATGCCTTGAAACTAAAGTCGGGGGCCAGTTTCGCTTCTCCTTTCCCGTCTGTTTATTCAAAAGTTTGACGTTTTCCCTCGCCAATTTTTGCTGCCAACTGCTCGACCGTTTGCACGTTTTATATAACTCAAGCTGGTCAAAAATTAGATTTCAGGACCGTAAAACACTTTACTCTCTTGCAAGCCAAGCTAAATTTGTTAAATTTAGTAATTTCCACAGCGGGAACACCCAAGCTCCTAACGACCTAAGCATCATATTACAGGTTGATTTTGAGGCCATCTGACAGCCAAGATGGGCGCCGACGATGCTCTCATGGGCGAGACGGAGGATTATGAGCTGCCTAAAAACGTTGGAGAGGTGGGCAAACGAATTGAAATACAAACAAATCGAAAACATGAAAACTAATGATTTGTAGCCGCTTCGGAAGGAGCAAAAGATCCCGGACCGACGTCTCGTCGCCACGATCCCAAAGCAGCAAGCCATGGAATACTTGAGGGATTTGCTGACTAAGCCACTGACAGGGTAAGTAATATTCATTCGAAGGAATTTTAGCAATATCAGAGATTTCGCTACGAAGATGAGGCGTCTGGAGCTCCTGCACCATCAGCTGATCATCATCCAAGCTCAGGTTGACATAATTTACTTTTCAATCATATTTTTTTAGATAAATCGCGAGTTGGCCATCATTCTCGACAAGGATTTGGCCACGTTCGACGACGAAGAGGCCTTCGATAAACTTACTGAGGACGTAAGGCACTCCTTATCTTCGTAAAGGTGTTTTTAGCACAAGAAGGTAATCTTTGGCTTGCGTGAAGTGGCCCTGGTCACTCGCCGGACCGTTGATGGCCATGGAGTCGAGGAACTGCGCGCTATTGGAGCTCGTCTGCCCAAGGAGAAGATTGTTAAAGGTAGTGCTTGTTCGATTTTGTATGGTTTATCTGCTTTAGTTGTTGCCCGGCCCAAACGCCCTTACAATCGGGCTTACAAAGAGCGAAAAGAAGAAATCGCTGCTAAGGGCTCGGTGGCTCGCGATGGTCGTGTTGGATCGAGGGTAGGGACGCCTTCCCGTCTATCAAAACCCGTATGTTTTCAAATTCCGGTTTGAGGTATTTTTGGTTTTAGACTACTCCTCTGCTTGATGGTGCTGATTCGCCGCCTCTCCCGGGCTCTTCTGGTGGGCAGAATCGTGGAAAGGGACGTGGTCGTCAACCTGGAACGGCCAAGGAGGCCAAGGAAGATGGAAAGAGCGGCAAGAAGGAGACGGCTTACCAGGTATGAAGCCTCAAAATAATAATTTATCCTTTTAGGGCAAAAAGCGTGGCCGCGCCTCTGGCTCATCGACTAAGGGCAAACAAGGCCGTGCCAACCGTTTGGACGATGACGACGATGAGCTCGATGAAGCCACTTATTGCATCTGCGAGCGCGTATGACTTTTTCCTAATAATCTATTCTTTTGTCTAGGTTTCCTTCGGCGAGATGGTCTGCTGCGACAACCAGAAGTGCTCGATTGAATGGTTCCACTTTGTGTGCGTCGACCTGAAGAAGAAGCCCACCGGTATCATATACTTAGTTTTCATTTCAGTTTTCTTTTCAGGCAAATGGTACTGCCCAGAGTGCCGCCAAAACGACAACGTCCGCCAGCCCCGCCAGAAATAGCCCCATAGCGCCCCAATTGCTCAAAAATTTTTACGGGTACTTTCAGGTGCATCTCTCAGCCGCGTTCTCTCTCTACCTGCCACTTTTTTTTGATCGTTCTCCTCCTCGGGTACTTCTTTTTGTCATAACGTATTTAGCAATAATTACCAATTCCTCAGCGAATGATTTTGTAAATTTTTTCTCGACATGACGTAATCCCTAAAGAAAAACCGTTGTTTGCTTAAAAATAAACTTTGTTGTCACGATTTGGTTATCAACAAATGCTACGAACCATTTACATTTCTAATCGCATTCACGCAGAGCTTCAATTACTTGCAAAACGCCTCCAAGCGATCGGTTGTTGATTTTAGGCATGTGATGGTTAGGAGAATTGTCATCGCCGCTGTCGCTCTCTACTTGGGGCTTCTGTGTTATTTCTGGTATTCGCTCGAGCTAGCTGATAATACGACGCGAAGGTTTGGCTTATATTAATTCTCATGATCTTGTTTTCAGCGCTGCCTCAATTTCACATGTGGCGCCGAAATTCGCTGGCCCGAAGTTGTGCGTCATTGTCCCGTTCAGAGATCGGTAGAACTTCCTCGTAACTCATTTCATTTTCATTTTAGTTATGACGAGTTGAAGGTCTTTGCCCCATACATGCACAGCTTCCTAAACAACCAGTCGATACCGCACGAAATTTTGGTATTAAACCAAACGGATCGATTTCGATTTAACCGAGCCAGCCTCATCAATGTGAGTTTTATTTTATCGTTTTTCTTACGAGTTTTTAGGTTGGCTGGCTGGAAGCATCATCGTTGAATTGCAGTTATATGGTGATGCACGACGTCGATCTACTCCCGGCGGTATTCAAACATTTCTTGGTTATCAAAATTTACAGACAAGCGAAATCAACTACAGATTTCCTGGTGAAGGTGTTGTGCGCCATATTACGAGCCCAGAATATCACCCAAAGTGAGGTTTACTTCTTGAAATGGAACCTTTCTTTAGATATCACTATACGAAGTTTATTGGAGGAATACTGATGCTGACAATGAAAGATTTTGAGAAGGTTGTGCTCCGTTTTAAGATGTTAATGTTCTTTTTTTCAGATAGACGGCATGAGCAACAAATATTGGGGCTGGGGAATGGAAGACGATGAATTGTATTTGAGGCTTAGGTATAGCTTTGTCCTATGTCTTTGATTTTTATCTTTTTTTAGTGAGCGCAAGGATCTTGTCCTTACCCGCACCAAGGGGCTCTCAACGAACAGTACCAATTCTTTCCGCCATATCCATCCGAAGAGCAGGAAGAGGTTCGAGATTTTGTCGAGTTTTTCAATATTTTTTTTAGGGATTACGAGGTGGCCAGTCCCAATCAGCGAGCAATGAAACGGCAGCGGGATAGATTGAGCGGGCTCCACAATGTCTACCACGCGATTCGGTAATGGCCGTTATTTTGTATTTCTATTTTGATCTACAGTTCTCGTGCTCTGGTGCAATTCGAGGGAGCTGATGTACATCTGATCGCCGTCGCGCTAAAATGCAACATGAAGTGGACTCCATATTGTTTGTCGGCTGCTCAGAAGGGCTGAACTCATCGCTCGCCCGTTACAGTGTTGTTTTGTTGCTGTGTACCAGGTGAGTTGTTTTTTACTTTTTAAATGAAATTATATTCCCACGTGTCTTTCTCAATTTGTGATTTTCCAACGTGTGCATTTACATCGACAACTGAGATCATAATTTTGTTGCCAACATATCCCGTCTAGAAACCTTGTGATATCATAATAATTGCCTTGCCAGTGCATTCGTTTCCCCCCACCAATCTCGATAAAACTCAATAAGCTTTATTCAGGCGATCATATAATAAGCAAAGACACCCGTGCATAATCGAATTGTCGCGGACTCGTACGGATGACAGCAATGTAATTTTGCTAGTAGCTATTAGAACAAATGCGGGAGATTAAGTAATGCAGAAAAGTGGAGAAGTGGCCGGCACAAGCCTAGTAATCACGAATGAAGCACATCTTTTTGAGGATCCGCTTGAAGGCTGCGCGGAAGTCTTGGGAGAAGACGGTGTAGATTATTGGGTTTAGGGCGGAGTTAAGGTACCCTAAAAGATGGGATTGCTTTTTTTATCCTTGACTTACCAAGCCAAAGCGTGAGGCTTTCGACGAGGGGTGGCACGTAGCATTGGCAGATTGGTCGGTAGAGTGAGACGAGAAAAAATGGGGTCCAGCAGGCGACGAAGGTGCCTAAGTAGCTTTGTTAGCTTGGTTTTTAGCTTTGTAAGCTTTTTCTAGCTTTGTTCTAGTTTAGAAAGATGGGTTAGATTGTAGTTTCGTTTTTTAGAGTAGCTAATTAGCTTAGTTAACTTGTTTTTCTAGAAGTTTGAGTGGTTTTTGGAGCCTGAGTTTATTTTAGAAAGAGTTTTAGATAGTAATTACGTTTTATTGAAAGTTTAGCTTTACCTGTAATAATTCCCAACGTTCTCCAAGCTTTTCGCTCCCTTTTCGTCTCCGCGCTCTCCTTCGGCCGCTTCTTCCGCTTTGCAATAATCCCTAAAATCACGTTGTACTTTTTGCTTCACTTTCACCACCTTGCAACGAGTTTGCACCACCACTACTCGTCCGTACGCCACTCCGTGGGGCCCCATTAGCTGACACTAAAAAACAAGACATTTACGCAGCCACATAATCATTAGTAATTCCATCATGCCGTCTACAGTTCATTTGTGACTCCAAGCATTCGTTCTAGGTGCCCCCGGAATTGCTTGGCCGGCCCGGACGATACGTTTTTGGGGGCAGTGTTGTGCTACCTTCCCCCCAGAAAGCACGTGCGAATCGGGACATTGGTAGCAACGCGATTTGTTGCATGAAGCCGTGATTTGGTTTTGGCTAGAGGGTTCTTTTGCATTATCGGGGGCCAACTTTTTGTCCTAGGATTCAATTCATCGCCTTAAAAGAGCGGAAATCTTTCTAAATAGTTTTTGCTATTCCTAGACATAAAATTTACAAATTTTGATTAAAAAAGTACAAAAAAAATCGCGATTTTCGACCAAAATCTCAATTTTTCTGAAGGTTTTTCGAGTTTAAAACTGGTGATATTCTACTAAAATGAGCAAAATACTTTGTACTAAATTACTCGGCATTTCTAGACGTATAAAAAAATCAGCCCCCTCCCCCGATAATGCAAAAGAACCGGTTAGACCTCGGGCAGTGATGGGGATTTACAATTTGAGGAAGCCTGGCATGGTAGATTATATTAAAAAGTATTTTTTTTTATTGCCAGACCACCTCTAGAAATCCCATTTTCAGACGCTTTTCGCTTGGCAAGCCATGTGTGAATTCATTACGGGTGTTTTATAAGTACCTCCAGGGGTTGTTGAAAGCCCGGTAGAAAAGTCTTCTGAAGATTTTTTCGTTTTTGCGACGATTTTACGCTTACGAGGAAGCGCTTTTACGCCACGTTACCAATACCACTAGACACTACCAGTATGGCATGCTACGAACCTGTGACAACGCTGTCCAGCTTCGTCTCCAGCTCTTTGCTATCGACTTGTTGAGTGGCCGTTCTTTCTTCTTCTGACATTGTCGATCCACTGCTGTTTTCAGCACACGCCTAAAATATAGCAATTATTTATCTATTTTAACCCTGAATTATCTATCTATTTTAATCTGTTAACAAACCTTGTGTTTTCCATTCTTTGGCATCCCATTCTCATCTTTAATCAGAACTGCCGGGGGTAAGGGTAACTAAAACAGGTATTTATCACTTTTAGGCGGCTTTACATACCTTTTTATTTTTCTTTAAAATCAAGGGCGCGTTCTTCTCATCCATATGGTTGCCCAGCGGCTTATTAATCGTACGCCTATCTCTTTCACGTTTAAATCTAAATAACTTGTTTCTAAAACTCTTTACTCTCGTACCTCCGCTTCGCAGCGCGCATTATTTTCCAATAGACACATATAATCGCACATAATGGAATGTAGAATGCGGTAGCGGTAGAAAAAACCTGAAAGTATTGTTCTACGAACAGCCTTTGATGTTTTTACAGGGGTTTGAAAAACGGTCGACAGCTAGGCCCTCGTTATGCGCCCATTTTCGGGCATTTATCACCCGGGATTCCCCAGAGGCGTCGGGGATTTTGATTGTTTTTTAGCATCTCTTGGGACCGAGAATAGGGAACGGCCATTTGACACATTTCCCATTCCGCTTTTTGCTAGAGGCCAAAGAAATGTCGAGAGGGCTCTGGGTGGTCCTACATGGAAAAGCGGATGGTACGAATGATTGATGGGTTTTATGATGCCTAGGAGATGGAAAAGATATTTGGCTTGTTTTTGCTATAACTTTTTTAGGTTCCATTATTTTGGGCTGAAAATAAACTTTTAGTAGCTTTTTTGACGCGCTATCAAATGGCGTTAAAGAAATTTTGTAAAAAATGTCCAAAACTAGCTTCCCAGTCGATGTTTCTATTTCGAAACAACGTTTAAATCTTGTTTTGCTATAAATTTTTCATATTACAAGATTTTGAGCTGAAATTAAAACGTTTTGTGTTTTTTTTGATGCGCTATCGAATCGTACAGTCTCTCCCCGCTTAATAGAAAAGTACCTTTTACGTTTTACCCTATAAAACCCTTACTTGATAGCTAATCTGCTGTGAAATCAGGCAAACATGCTGCTTCTCCACGCGATCCTCAAAACCCTCGTCTTTCCAGCCGGCAATTGGCGCCAAACTGGAATGTAGCAAGAGTGTATTCTAGCAATCCAAAGCCAATTTTACCTGATCAACAACGAGAGCGTCCAAATGGCGCCCAACATGCTAAATATCCGGCGGGGCGTCCGGTTTTGCACGTAGCAGATGTCAGTCACAGACCAATAGCTGAAAAAAAACACAAAACGTTCCGCATGGATAACTAGCAACGCACCGGTCTAGCGCGATAGCGACCAGGTGTAGGATACTGGCGGTGCAGACGAGGACGTCGACTGAGATCCAGAAGTCGCAGATCGTCACGCCGAGGCGCCATTCGCCGGTTACGGTAAACCAGGCGCCCAATGGGGTCACGATGATGCCGACCTGAATTTAAAATTTGAATTGGATTTCTCTGTAACAAAAATAGATTTAAATAGGGTTTTTGCGATATTACAAAAGCTATTAGGAGATTTTTAGGTCCTCTATCGAATTGCCTTTTCCAGAATATCGACGTTTTGAAAATACCGAAAATCGAGTTCTGCCCGTTATCCGATGGGGAAAAAAGGTTTTGCGCTATAAAACTCTAAAATTACATTATTTCGGACTGGAAATAATTCTTTTGGTATATTTTTCGGCGTTCTATCGATTGGCGTTTAAAATATTGAAAATTTGGAAAATTTGGCTTTTCTGCACGTCGGTTTTTGACAAATTTTTCTTTCTTCAGTATAAAATTTCCCTTACATTTTTCGAGGTTAAATTTATCTTAGTTATTTTTAGACGCTCTTTCGAACGCTCTAAATCTAAACTTGCGAATTACCACAATTTTTAAGAAAATATTAGTGATCATTGGTGATGCCCGGTATTTTTTTGTGTAGATTTAATTAAATTCCCTTGCTTCCATGAAAAATATGTTCTTTTCATTTTTCGTTCCCATCCAATTCCTTTCCGTTCCACTGCACAGCTAACCCCCTAATTTTCGATCCCTTTCACCACGAACGCCTCGGAAGTCCCCTCCGTTTTTTTCCTGACCTCCTCCCCGGAAAAGCCGGCTGTTGATTTCAAGGCTTTTCACGAGATTTTTGGACCTACTGGACAGCAATTGGTCCCAAATACAAACCCTGCCCTCCCCTAGCCCGGCTCTGCCCTTCCAACTCGTTCCCGCGGTTCTTTTCTCGCTCCAATTCCCCCGATTTTTCACATCCGATTTATTTCGCGGGCCCGCGGGGGCCATCCTTTGCCAAAAACGGTGGGTGTTAGCTGATGGAAAATGGAATCGCCAAGTGCAAAACGTCGTTGTCTGGTTTCCGGGGGAGTTCTGGGACCAAAATTGCTCAAAAATATCAGATTTTTACGCGTGGTCAGCTCTGACGGTAGGCATTCAGGTAGTCATTTTGAATTTTGAATTTTTGGACGTGTTCTTTTGCGTTATCGGGGGGGGGGGGGACCAACTCTTTCTAAGGATTGGATTTTTCTAATATAAGATACCAAAAAATATCGGGTTTTCCGCCTAAAATGACAGTTTTTGACCAAAATTTCGAGTTTTGAACGTTTTTTGAAAACGCTGAGAAATTTTTCTATTTGGAAATTGGTTTTATTTTTCAATAATCACTATTAAAGTACTTCCAATTAAGTTAATAGGCATTTCTAGACTCATACAAAAAAAATTTGCCCCCCCCCCCCGATAATCCAAAAGAACCGTCAATAGAGTAGTGGTTTTGGCTTTCTGTTCTTTTAAACGAATTCCTTTTATCCTAAGTCACCAAAACCCAAAGAACACCTAGCATTTTAGAGGGGGCAGATCGACGATTTGCAGACGCATTCCAGGGGGCAGCCAGGGAGGGCATAAAAACCCGGGGAAACGAGGGTAGTATAATAAGGCGTAACGAGGGCAATTTTGAGTCGTTCGCTTGAATACACGGCGATTGTTTGGGAGATCAAGGGAAGCGGGGGGGCTGTTTTCTATTGTTTTTAGCCCTAGAATGAAGCCATTGTCAGATCTATTTCAACCTCCCCTCATTTTTTGCAGGCTGCCCTCCTTGAAAGGATTATTTCAGGCGCAAAAATAGGGCACCGCCCCAATCCAAACAACCGTCATAGAATTTAGGGAGCTGGAAAAAGCTGGCCGGCGCGTTTACACGAATTCGACGCATGAGCGCCGCTGGAGGGGATCAACTCGGCGAACTCATGGAATGTCGACTTTTTGTCGACAGAGCAAAAAGCTTATGCTTCATCATTGAGGCTTGGTGACCGGAAATCGGGGCGAACGGGCGAATGGAATTATTTTTGGGAAGTGGAGGTGGATAGACCGAGGTGAAAATATGTAAACGGTACATCAGGATAGCGGGAACCTCATTATTTATAATTCTAAGGTTTGACAGAACTGCAGAATTTAACAAGCGCAATTCGATAGAGCGTCAAAAAATATACTAAAAAAATAATTTCAGCTGGAACAAATGTAAGGAATTTTTTTATAGAATAAAGAAGAAGTGGACAAAAACTGGTTTGGGCACATAAGATCACGGCGGCGGGGAAAGCTAAATTTTTGAGATTCTTTTGGTTTTCAAAACGCTATCGATAGAGCGTCAAAAAATCTACTAAGTGAATTATTTTCAGCTCGAAAAAAGTAAAATAAAAGTTATATAGCATAAAACCTAGTTCAAAACTATAGGTACCACATAGAATAACGGAAGTCTATTTTCGGTATTTTCGATTCGATATTTTGAAATTGCCATTCGATAGAAAGTCAAAAAATGTACTAACAGTTTTTTATAACCCGAAAAACGTATTTAAAACTATTTTCATTACCATGAAATAATGACTGCCTCCGCCCCGTTATCGCATTTGTGCCTAAAATTCGATCACCTCTGATCCCCCAACATTCTCAATATATCCCTCCCTCGACACGGACATTCCGGGAGGTCATTTTTTGTGAAAAGCGCCGCCACACGGCTCCAGAATGCAATTACCTAGTGTGCCCTCAGATCAACGGAGCTCGCACTCCTTTGAAAAGTGATTTGCTTCTCAAGTATCCCCCTCCCGCGCGCGCGAGCATCAACGCGGAAATACCTTCACTACCCGTGTGCATCTACTGGAGGGTTTTATAAAAAGTACGGGAGGTGACGAAGGTTTTTAAGTCAAGTCTTTAGCATGAAATTGAAAGTAAGTTTTTTGGGAGGTAAAAACCGAACTGAACAAGTAAAACTTGTCGAACTCGAGGAGAATGGTTAGATTGTGCAAAAAAGCTTATTGGTATCATCAAAGTAGTAGATGAGCTGCGCTGGGAGATAGAGAACAAGTTCAAGAAGTTCAATGAGTTCAGGGTGTTTATACCGAGGTCGAAATGTTGTATTTCGCATTATCCCGCCTAGCTTTGTTTTGCGCCCTTTCTAAGCTTATAAAACTCACAATTAGATCAGCAACAGCCAGCGAAAAGATGAGATAATACTGGGGTCGCCCTCGCAGGTCACGCTCCATCATAATCGCGAGGATCACGAATAAATTACCTTAATACGAGTTGCTGCTATAAGGGAGCATGAACTCACCTATGACGCAGGCTAATATCAGCACTATTAACACGGTGCTGACCAATACCAGCTCGACGAGCGGTCGCCCGTCAGCGGGGAGTGCTGCTAAAATTTACAAATTTTTGTAGATCTTTAAATTATACCAAGGAGCATTTGAGCCGCACTTTCGTCTGGCATTATTGACTTGTTGCTCCCCGGACTAGGCCACATGGCACAGCATCTGAATTCGAGCATGAACTAGGCCTTTTGAAACCATGAAACGAATTGAAATGATAAAAACGTGCCGAGCTGGAGAAGAGGAGAATGGTTAGATTGTGCAAAAGAAGATGATCATTTCGAGACTGACATATTGTTAAATGAGCTCCTGAGAACGAGCGAGAGCCCGACCAGTTCAAGGAGTTCAAGGAGATGCTTTACATGCGAAGAAGTAAAATTGCGATTCGAAGACAGAAAATTCATGAGAAGTTTGTATAAACCAGAGAACACAGTTTTGGAGGAGTCTTGGGTGCAATGGCTCGGACTCAAAAGCCCTTCCTTATATGTAAGGAGCTTTTTTGGGTATGGTGGAAGGGGTGGGACTCACTGGCCGGCCAGTTCTTGGCCCTCCCTCGAGATCCTCAACCATATCCCCAACACGCCCATTCCTGGAGGCCCGGCTGGCTGTTCCTCCTCCTTCTCCTTCTCCTCCTATCGCTATTTTGCATTTTAATAACAATTTTTGGTTGAGCCGAAAGGGGGTGGATGAACCCGATGGAGCAAGAGAAAGAGAGGAAGAGCAATATTTCAAACATCCCAAAAATCATTGATCTTTAGCCGCCGTGAAATGAGAGAGGGGAAGATATATGGAAATTCGGGATGTGGCGCTCCTTTCGACAATTTGGAGATCAAAAGAAGGAAATAGAGAAATGCAGTAAATCGGCGGGGAGAGGCAAAATCGAGCTCAATTTCCGAAAAGCAAGCCTATACCCTAATATATGGAGGTTCGGAAGCTGGTGCTCCTTATTGCGAATTTGAGCAAAAAGCATTGAGAGGGGGCGAGAAAATGCTGAAAAGCAGCGAGGGGTCTCAACATCATACTCAAGATAGGAAGATTCGAATCGCTAGTGCTCCCTTTGCCAATTTTGAGCATAAACGCATAAAAACGAGCAAGAGTAATGAGGGAAATGCGAAGGAGCATCAGCATTATTTCCTTAATATCCGAAACTTCGGAATGCTGGTGCTCCTTTGCGATTTTGAGGATGAAATGAAGACATAAAAAAGGTAGCGAATCGCTACCTTGCGAGCTGGTGCTCCTTTTATATACTTGGGCATAGAAGGGCAAAATGAGCAAAAAAATTCGGAAAATCGTGGTGAGCATCAGCATTATCTCCCGATATATGAAAATCCGAGATGCAGGCGCTCATTTTGAAAATTTGTAGCAAAAAGGCGTAAATAACAAAAATATCATAAATCCAGGGGAGCAACAACAATCGTCGCGCCTCGTTCAATTTCCACAAAAAACACACAAAAATTAAACGTCAAGAAGGGGGAAGAAGAGGATTTGCAGAGGGGATTGGGTGGATGGGGGACGGGCCATAAAGTGGCATCTGCTTGGCGAGGACCACAGCCAATCCAGGAACCAGAGCTTCACCCTGCCTCTCCCTCGGCGGACACGTCCATTTTTCAGCACATCGAGTCTGACCCGAAATGCCGAGTGTTTGAATCGAAAAAGAGGGAGCGGAAGGGAGTGGGGGTATATGGTTTTTGGTGGATTTGATGTATAGGAATGGTGAATTGGGTGGGATTAGGATATTAGCGTAGTGGGGGCAGGAATTAATGGGGGGTCAAAGCGCGTTTTTGGAGCGGGTGATCATTGCCAACTTGCTCTATAAGGTAATACAATTTGGGCAGAATTTTGCACAGAAATTGTTTTAAAGGACCAGTGTAGTCAAATCTATAGCCTGAAAAATTTTAAATAGCTTGATGCACTTCCCATGCTAATTTTGCACAGAACCAGTATAACTCATAAGTATAAGAAAGTTTTAAAGGACCAGTTAAGCCAAAATCTCTAGCGAAAAATTCAAAATAGCTTGATCAACTTCCAAATGCTAATTTTAAACGGAATTTGACCACCTTTTGGGATAAAGAAAACGTTTTAAAGGACCATTTAAGCCAGAATCTACAACCTTAAAACAGAATTCGGGCATAGTCTTTCTCATAAAACTTTTTTAAAGGAATGCGCAGGCCAAAATCGGGTTTTCGGGTATCGACAGCAAGATTTCGGTTCATTTTTGGCATAGGAACTGTTTTAAAGGAGCATTGAAGCCAAAATCTATAGTTTTAAAAATCTGATAATCCGGTTTTTCAACTAATTTTTGGCAATTTTTGGCACGAGCAACAGAATTTCTATATTTCCAAAGTAAAAATAGTTCAAGGCAATTCTAAAGAACCATTCAACCCAAAATCTACAACCCTAAAACCCGCTAATCCCCTTATTAACCCCCTGACCTTTATTAACAAAATACGCAAAACCGTAGCTCATTAGCCACCATCCTCCTGCCCGGCCCGCTCGCCCACGACATGAAAGGATTAGCGGGGTCTTGGGGGCAGAAGGGCGGGGCGAGTGTGTTTTCTTCTTTATTGGTGTCATAAGCCCTCCCGAAAACCTCTCGCAATAAACAACACAGCTCCCGAGGGGGGAGGTCGTGTCCAATTTGAGGAATTTATCGAGGGGGGACCGGCAAAAAACAGAACACCAAGTGGGCGGGGGTAATTTGATCATTTCAAAGATTTTAGAGCAAAACAGAGAACCATAAAAGGCGTAGAAAAACTATTAAAAATACCGTAACTTCGGGGAATCGTTTTTGGCTGTTTGTCAAGCTGTTTAAAAGTTTGAAGCTTGAAGTTCTGAATAGAATGATTATATTAAAAGATACTAAATTAGGCGGATTTTCTAGAAAATTTAATCTAGGGTTTTAAAGTTTGAACTTCCCGTTTTTGGCACTCATTTAAGGGGTTAGTGAAGGCAAAAACGGGAAAAATGCTAAAAACCAAGGACTGACAGATAAAGAGCGAGAGAGTGAGTGAGAGGCATAAAGAGAGAGAGAGAGAGAGAGAGAGAGAGAGAGAGAGATAGCGAGTGACAGAGCGAGAAAGCGAGAGAGCGAGGGAGAGACAGACGGAGAGAGAGCACAATTAAATGGGATCAGAGCCGATTTATGCTACTTTTCAGATAAATTAGTTTTATGCTAATTAAATAAAGCTTCCTGATCTCTTCAATAAAATCGGAACCTTGAGAAGCTATTTTTACTCAAATACGGTTATTTTTAATACTTTTAGCAAATGGAAAATGTGAAAAATTGAACGCTCTACCCGAAGCTAAATCAAAACGACTTTTTTTAGATTAAAGACGACCAGATAGACTGATTTCCAAAATGCCAGCCCCCTGTTTTCAGACCAGAATGAACTTCACAACCTGCTAATCCCATTCATTCTCAGGAGGGCCGGATGGCCGGCAGATTAGCCGGAAATATGTGTGGAAAAGGAGCAAGAGAGAGACACGAGTATGTCCCCCCTCGAGGCGCCCGTAAGAGCTGCAGCAGCATTTCCAAAACGCGGGTCCTCTGGGCCATCATCGGCCACTGCTCGGCAAGGGGCCAATTTGATGAGGCCGAACGAGGAGGGGGGGGGGGAGAATGACGTCTCGGTGGCGAGAGCAAGATTTAAGAAACGCGTAGCTATATCCGGGGCGGCAATGATCTCATAATATTTGGATTTGGTGACGGAGGTATAGGGATGAAACATTGGGATTTTGCAGGGATTTATGCAAATTTTTGAAGGGAAGATTGAAAGGTATCTTAAAGTGATGGTTTCAACGAAAAAAGGTATAAAATTAGGTAAAGAAAAATCTACAAACTGAATTTTTACAGGGATTTATGCAACTTTCTATAGACTGGCCTTAAAGGTCTATTAAAGGGAAAGTTCCATAAAAAAATATAAATACAGTATATAGCGATCCAGAAAATCAAATATTCATTCAATTTTCCATAAATTGCAAGTAAATTGGTGTAAACTGGCCATAAGGGTCCATTAAACGTTATTTTTATTAAAAGAAAAAGAGAAAAAGTATAAAAATACATAAAACAAAGGTTTAGAGCATGAGATATAGCTCCAAAAATTCTTAAAAACATACAACCCAAAATATAAATCTCAAATTGATGGTTCGAACATACCCACCCTTCTCCTCCTCCTACCCTCCCCCTCCCCAAGACATAATGGGATTTTCGTGGATAGTGGAGAAATTTTGTCGGGAGGAGCCACCTCTCCGGAGCAGCAGAGGCTAGAAGCGAGCCTCCGAGGTTAAATAATGCAATTGCCAGGGGTTCAAGCCGCCAAGGACCCCCGAATCACAGCGTTGCCAAGAGTCTCTCTCTGTTTTGCTCTCTCTCCCTCTCTCTCTCTCTCGCCGCTCCTCCTTAATTCCCCCCAAAAATGACCGCCTATACCCCCCACAAATTGTAAGGTTAGACAACCCGAAAAATAGCTTAAAATCTGAGAATTCTGACTCAGCCACAAATCCCGGAGTGCGATAGAAAAACAAGATTTAGTCTGGAAAATCGCGCTGGATTTGAGAAGCTTAGGCTTAGGCTTAACTTAGGCTTACTTAGGCTTAGGCATGGACACTTAACTTAGGCTTAGGCTCGGCTTGGGCAGGATTGGGCTTAGGCTTAGGAGGCAAAGACACAGGCTGAGCTTAGGTTTAGACTTTGGCTTAGACGTAGGCATAGGTTTAGGTTTAGGCTTAGGCGTAGCTTCAGCTTAACTTAGGGTTTCCTTAGGTTAGGCTTAGGCTTACTTAGGCTCACTTGGATCAGCTTTAGGTACCGCCGTCTTCGTCGTCGTCAGAAGCCAGCCGGGATGCAAAATTTGAAGCTGAAGCACCCAAAACTTGTTTTCCCCTTAATTGCCATTCGAGGGGGACACTCGCCCCCCTCGAAACTCTCATCATTTGCATACCAGCCCGGGGGGTTTGGCTCAAAAACGCTCAAAAAGCAAGGGTTCGGCGGGGCCAAAAAAGCGGCCATTCCCACACATAGCCCCCCAGGGGGGGGGGGGGGATGGACTAGGGGAGGGCAGGGGAGGAGGAGGAGGAGGAGCACTGATTATGAAAAGCCGAGTGGAAGTGATGGAGGGAGGGACATACTTTTGAGGAGGGCAAACGGCTGGGGCTG